GAGAATTAGAGAATTAGGTGCCCAAAGCAGGGGCTGCAGCCCCTAATGTTGGGACCTACGAGCTGCAGGATTTGCTGTGAGTGCTCCGGAGGTGAGCAGGGGATGGTGCTGCCAGAACCATTCCTTGCAATGACTCATGCCGTTGTTTGACACCGAACAGCTTCAGGCAAGCCAAGCTTTTGGGAAGAAAAAAAAAAAAAAAAAAAAAAAAAAAAAAAAAAAAAAGAGGGAGAGAGAGAGAGAGAGAAATAATGCTCTGAGGTTTTCAGCATCTTTTTTTTTTTTCTTTTTTTCCCAGGAAAGCAAGGTCCTGCAAACAAACTGTTGATTGAGCTCAGCCAGCTCATGTTATCTGTGCTGGGAGCTCGGCACAGCGTGCGGCCCCCTCCAACGCCGCAGATTTGCTATCGGCCCCTGCCACCCGCGTAATCACCTCGGTCACGCCAGGCTCTGCCCCCGCTGCAATTTCACAGCCGCTCGGTCGGGGGGAAATCACGGCGATCCGGGCTTGTCTGCCAGCATCACAAGAGCGTGCTGCCTTTTGGAGGAGCACTGATGTGCACAGAGAGGGGTGGGCACGGTGGGACCCTCACTGGGGTCAGAGATCCCGGTGGTGGAGCTCGTGGATGAATCTGGATGAGAAAAAGGGGCTGGATCTGGGCACTTGGGGGGGCAAACAGAGCCCTTTCCTTGCCAGGAGCCCCCCTGGACTGAGGAGGGCTGAGGGCATCAGGCTGCAAGGCAGGAGTGTGGGCTTCAAAGCCAGTCCCTGCCCCAGCTTTCCTCTGGAAAAAAAGTCTCGTAGGTTTTGTTCTCTTTCAGGTGTGCGGAGCAATGCCAAAATCCCCATCAGCCAGGGCCAGGGCACATGGCTAAATACCCGCACAGTCACAGCTCCGGCAGCTGTCAAGAGCCGGCGAGGAAACGAGGAGGAAGAAGCTCAATATTTCCATCCACAGCGTTATGGATCTGCTGCCCTCCCGCAGCTGGGCGCAGCATCGATTTCTTGTGAATAGCCACGGGGCTGTGCTGCTGGAGGTTTCCAGGTCCCTTCCCGGGGATGCTGTGGCTACCCCAGAAAAAAATAAAAAAATAAAAAATAAAAAATAAATAAAATAAAATAAAATAAAATAAAATAAAATAAAATAAAATAAAATAAAATAAAATAAAATAAAATAAAATAAAATTAAATTAAATTAAAATTAAAAATCTCTGCGAGGTGCCGGGGCAGGACGTGGGGTGGGATCGGGGGGCTGCATCTCACCTGTCCCCAGCAGCCCCCCCGGTGTCGCGCAGCGCTCGGGCCGCTGTCCCCGCAAGCAGAGCTCCAAGTGCCACCTAGCGGCACGGGGACAGGCACACTGCCAGCCGGTCCCCTCCGGGTGTCCTCCCCGATCCCATAACCCTGCTCCTTGCCTTCCCCACCCCCGTGCACCCTCCTCCTCTCCCCAGCCCCCGTGCGCCTCCTTTTTCCCACTGCCGTGTGTGTTTGCCGTGCTGCGCATCCTCGTCTCCCCCCTGCTTTAGGGGTCACCTCCGCCTGGGGCTGTCACACCGCAGGAGCAGGCTCTAAAAGCAGGGGACAGCAAAGCCAGCAAACGACCTAAAAAATCTAAAGCTCACGAAGCAAGGAGATGTTTTTGCAAGGGGACCACCTTCCCCATTTGGGCACCTGGGGGTCTCCGGTGTCACCCCCTGCTTTACCCCCTGGAAATGCCCCCAAAGAGGGTCTTGCTGCCTCTATAGGGCCAGGGGTGCAGAGGGATCCCCCACCCCAGCAGGGGGATGCTGGCCCATCAGCAGCTCCCCGGGGATGCCTTTGGTGGGACCCCACCAGCGGTGAGAGCCACGAGGGGGCTCCAGGAGCCCATCAGAGCCGGGTGCTGGGAGCTGAGCTCCCGGCTCCTGGAAGCCGGGCTCCTGTCCAGCAGCCGGGCTGGAGGAGAGCAGCAGAGATGTCACGGTGCTGTCTCAGAGACAGGGCTTTTTCCTCTCTTTTTCTCTCTTTTTTTTTTTTTTTTTTTTCTCTCTTTTTTCCTCTCTTTGCCAGGCACTGGTGTTGGGTGTATGATCATTTACGCCAGCTGTGGATTCATGCAGGGCCAGATTTATTCCTCACAACTCTTTGTATTGCTCTCTTTCTCCACGGAGTGCAGGGTGTTATTTCCAGGAGGTGAATCTGGCCCCAGCATTAAAGAACCGCCTTGGGCAACACTGCTGAGGTCTCTCCTAGACAAGAATTTTGGGCACACAGAAGTAGCTCCAGGGACCTTCTCTTTGAGGATGGAGGCGGATAAAGCAGGTCCAAGCCCACCGGTGGGAATTTGGTGGGATTTTTCTTCCTGGAGGCTGGGAGGTGAGCAGGCAGTGCTCGTAGGAGGGGTGTTTGCAGCATCTGAGCAAGCAGCACAGAGGTCTGCCACTGGGGTCTGCAGTGATTCACATCCCCCCCTGCCCTGCAGCGCTTTGGGGTCGGTGTGGATGCTTTAAACCCTGCTATGCCCAGCAGCACGGGCTGGATCCACATTGAACTTGCATCGCCACCGCACAGGTCACGGCCAGCCTCACAGTGTAAACACAGACTTTGACCCTCAGTGATCTGGCTTGAAAGAGGCATCAGCAAGCAAAGACAGTGTCATTCGAGGCGTAGAGCTGCTCCTGAAGTGCAGGAGCTGTTCCAAAAAGCTATAGGAGGTTGTCATGGTGGAAAAATGAGTGCATGAAGGACCCACCCTGCAGAACAGGCAGGGAAAAAAATAGATCACAATGTATTCAGGCAAGAGCACACTTGCCTGCAAAAATAAAGCCCTGCGTTTGACACGTTGCTGAGCTATTAATTAGTTTGATCAGCTTGCCTGGGTGTGTTAACATGAGGGAGAGCTGGTGTTTGTACAGTGATGAGCTGTTAAAACTTCCCAAACAGAGGCAGAAAAAAATGGCAGAGTGAGATCTCCCCTTTGCCCAGAGCCTTCCTGCTATTCTTCCAGTGCTTTCCCACTCATATTTTTTCTATTTTACCCGGCTGAGTCTCCTAGGTGCCATTTCTTCCCCGGCACAGAACCAGGGACCCATGGGAGCGACAGAAGCGGTTTCGGCGCTGAAAGCCAAGGAGCTGTCAGCCCCCAGAGCACAAAGGCAAGGAATGGAAAAACCACCCCGTTTTCCTCCCCACAGACCCCTTCCCTCCCAGCTTCTGGGGGGCTGCACGTAGCCGAAGGGGCAGGGCGAGTTACCATTGCCACTTTAATGGCTGGGGAGGGCTGGGAGCTGCTGCTGGGGGAGCGGTGCCAGCACATCCCCGTCTCCCTGCCCCTTGTTTTTGTGCCTTTTAACACGCCGCAGATGTACCCGTGCCTGCCAGGGGGTGTCTGCAGGGTGGACGTTAACCAGCTCAAGCTGAAGTTGGTCACCAGCTATGAAAGTTTCATTCTTGATGTCTCCGAGCTTGGCGCTTCTGGACGAGGGGGCCGCTTGCACCCCAAGGCAGCCCTAAGGAACGATTCGGGTTGTGCAGGCAGGAGGGTTCGGGGTTTGCTTGTTCCTGGGGCAGGGAAGGGAAACCAACGTCCCCTGGCTCGGTGGGCAGCGTGCAGGTCCTCACCTCGCCAGGAGGGACTCAGGCTTCGGACCTGCAGCTTTGGCATCTGCAGCTCTCGCTCCCGGGCAGAGTCCGCATCCGAAGCTGCTCTTTTGCCCTGGGACAAAATGCAGAGTCCGGCCAGCCCCGAGCCCTGCAGGAGGCTCACAGCCTGCTCTCGCCTTTATCCCGACTGCCACCAGCGGAAAGTTTTGCAGGAACCAGACCGCAGCCCCAAGCAAGCCGGGCACGGCTCGGGGAGGAGAAGCTGAGATCGGGTCCTGAGCGCGGGTCCCAGCTGCAGCACATCCCCGCAGCTCCGCACTTCTGTGCAGGTTTTTATTTATTATTTTTTTTTTCTTTTCACACGTTCTTGCCTTCTGTTTTTGCTGGAGGCTCCCGTCCCTATTGAGAGGCAAATTTTAGCCATCTGGCAAAGCAGACTGTAGGATAAAAAAAATGAGAGAGGGAGAAAAAAAAAAACACACACACAATGTGCATGGGCACACACACACACACAAAACTCTGGAGATTAGGGAAGACAAAAACTTCTCTCGGCGGTTGCTGGAGAGGAGAGGAGAGGAGAGGAGAGGAGAGGAGAGGAGAGGAGAGGAGAGGAGAGAGAGGAGAGGAATGGAGAGGAGAGAGAGGAGAGGAGAGGGGAGAGGAGAGGAGAGGAGAGGAGAGGAGAGGAGAGGAAGGAGAAGGAGAAGGAGAAGGAGAAGAGAAGGAGAAGGAGAAGGAGAAGGAGAAGGAGAAGGAGAAGGAGAAGGAGAAGGAGAAGGAGAAGGAGAAGGGAAGGAGAAGGAGAAGGAGAAGGAGAAGGAGAAGGAGAAGGAGAAGGAGAAGGAGAAGGAGAAGGAGAAGGAGAAGGAGAAGGAGAAGGAGAAGGAGAAGGAGAAGGAGAAGGAGAAGGAGAAGGAGAGGAGAAGGAGAAGGAGAAGGAGAAGGAGAAGGAGAAGGAGAAGGAGAAGGAGAAAGAAGGAGAAGGAGAAGGAGAAAGGAGAAGGAGAAGGAGAAGGAGAAGGAGAAGGAGAAGGAGAAGGAGAAGGAGAAGGAGAAGGAGAAGGAGAAGAGAAGGAGAAGGAGAAGGAGAAGGAGAAGGAGAAGAGAAGGAGAAGGAGAAGGAGAAGGAGAAGGAGAAGGAGAAGGAGAAGGAGAAGGAGAAGGAGAAGGAGAAGGAGAAGGAGAAGGAGAGGAGAGAGAGGAGAGGAGAGGGCGAGAGGAGGGAGGAGTCGAGAGCAGGAGGGATCGAGAGGGAGGAAGGAGAGGGGAGAGGAGAGAAGGAGAGGAGAGGAGAGGAAAGGAAGACGGGGGAAGAGGAGCGGCTCGAAGGAGAGGAGAGAGAAGAAGACGGAGAGAAGGCGCAGGAGAGGAGAGGAGAAGGAGGAAAGGCGAGGAGAAGGAGAGGAAGAGGGGAGGAAGAGAGAGAGGAGGGAGAGAGCCTTCAGCGCAGGCAGGTCCGTGTGTGCGTGCCGGGGATGTGGGGAACCGTTGCAGGCAGGGGAAGGCGTGACCTGCATGGAAAATGCCAGACAACTCCAGACACACACGCAGAGGCGCGCACACGCTCACAAATCTCCGGCCAGAGATAAGGCGGACAGCGGAGCGTGGGGAAGGAGGCGAAGCCGGCCCCCGCCGCCCAGCCAGCCGCCCTCCCCTGCCTCCCCAGCCCCTCGGGGAGCTCTCCCAGCACAGACATGAGGTGAGTGCCTCCGGGACCAGGGGCGATGAAGCGGGGGAGAGCCGCACACCGGCTCCGAGGGGCTCCGGGGGGCACCGGGGGGTGGCTGGGGGACGGCGCCGGTTTCACTCCGGAGTGGGACCGGGACTCGCGGAGAGGAGCTGGCCGTGGGGCGAGCCGGCGGCGCTGAAGGCGAGGCGAAGCGAAGCGGAGGGGGTGATGCCCGTTTCCGCCAGCCCCCGAGCAGAAGAGAAACAGATTTTTTTCCCTTCGCACATTTTTGTGGTTTCAGACGAGCTGTCAGAAAAAGGCATGTTCAACCTCACTCCGCTCGGACGAGAAGTCGGCCCAAGTTTCTCGGTGCCCCTCGACTTTGCTTTGTAGCCGGGGGCCGGGGTGAGCGGTGGCACGAGACAGACGAGCCCCAGAAAACTACTGCCCTGGTTTTGAAAGAACGCAGACAGGTTAAAAATAATCCGCTTCTATAGCTTCAATTTCCTCATCAGCATACCTAAATCAAGCCCTGCTTCTGAAACCCTGTGTGCATGCACGTGTGGGTAGTTCCAGCGACTGTAATATACACCTACAAGCCTCTGCCAGGCCTTAGTACCTATTTTAGAAAGCGGAAATTTTCTCTAATGGCTCTAATTTCCTGAATGTTTCTGTTCCTCTGTGTGCTGTAAAAAGACGGAGGTCTCTCCTCCAGCCGGGTCCCATGCAATGCCATGGGCATTCGAGTTTGTACCCTCAGCACAGGCAGGGGTTTGCCAAAAACTGCTCCGCTGGTGCTCACCTTGCTGTTCAAACAGAGCTCCAGGCTGGTGTGCAGGGTGACCTGCAATCGCTGTCCTCTGTGCCCTCCTCGGGCACAAACAAGTTGGCAGCTGGGACAAACTCTCTAGGATCAGATTTTTTAAAAATCTGAGTTTGATGACAAAAGGTCTCTATGGATCTTAGCTGCTGTGTCCTTCATTTGGGGTGAGTGGTACCCTAAGAACTGAAGAGAATTGAAGAGGGAAAAGAGAAGAGAAAAAAAGCAAAATGAAGAGAAGCGAAAAGTACAAGAGAAGCAAAATGAAGAGTAAAAGAGAATTGAAGAGAAGTGAAGTGAAAAAGAAAGGAAAAGGAAAAAGAAGAAAAAAGAAAAAAGAAAAGAAAAGAAAGAAAGAAAAGAAAGAAAGAAAAGAAAAGAAAAGAAAAGAAAGAAAAGAAAAGAAAGAAAAGAAAAGAAAAGAAAGAAAAGAAAAGAAAAGAAAAGAAAAGAAAAGAAAAGAAAAGAAAGAAAAGAAAAGAAAAGAAAAGAAAAGAAAAGAAAAGAAAAGAAGAAGAAAAGAAGAAGAAAAGAAAAAAGAGTGTGCTCGGGGGGAGCAGTGTGCAGGTTCTGCTGCTGGGGCCCTGGCCCATCCTCGCCCGGCTGCAAAGCCTGCGTGCTGTTTGCTGGGAGTCGGTGAGCCCCGTTTGGCAGGGTGAAGCTAAGCGGTAGTAGCAGCAGTAGTTATTGCCATGATGCTTTCATTAAACCGATTCAGAAAGCATCGTTATTTTATTAAGCATCCTAATGTTTACTCTTCTATTAAGCGAAGATTTGCCCATCGGCTGCTTGTCCAGAGACGTGGAGCTGGTGGCTGCAGCTGCCAGGAGCGAGAAGCATGGGGCTCCTGATGGTGCCTGGAGCTGCGGGGGTGCCTTTGGATCCCACGGGGCACCTCCATCACCCACCCTTCTAAGGGGTTTTCCCTGTGCAGCTCCCATCCTCACCTCCAAATCCCTACAAAGAGTTTGCTGGCGGTGGCACGGTGCCACAGCTCTCCCAACCCAGCACGCTGATCTCAGCTCTGCAACCTTACACAAAGTTGTAAGGGTTTTGGTGGAAAAAAATGCATTTTTTGGAAAACCAGACTGAGCCCTGACAGGCTTCGGGATGGCCAGAGTTTCATTTGGTGTCCCCGTGTGCTTTCCAGGTACCCCCTGGCCTGGTCGCTCTGTGCCTGGCTGCTCGGCGTGGCGGATGCTGTTGAGCTGACGGAGATGTTTGGGGAGATCCGCTCCCCAAACTTCCCCGATTCCTATCCCAGCGACTCGGAAGTGACGTGGAACATCTCCGTGCCCGAGGGATTTAAAATCAAGCTGTACTTCATGCATTTCGACTTGGAGTCCTCCTACCTGTGTGAATACGACTACGTGAAGGTGAGCGGTGGTATCAGGGGGCGCACGAACGGGCAGGTGGGACATGTGTTTGGCCAGCAGGGAGTGCTGGAAAAGCTGGGAACAAGGTATTTTTCCCCATTTATTGGGCACAGGAATTGTCTGTCCAGTGGACAACAGGGAGAGCGCAATAAGCTGACAGCATCCATTGGGCTAACCAGTGGGTGGGACACCCGAGTCAGAGCCCAGTCACAAAGGACCAGATCTCTGAAACTACAACACTTATTTCTTGTTGAATCCCACGGGATTCACACACCTGCGTGCTGATGAAATCCCTGTGGCAAAACCCCCAGGCTGTGCTCCTCTGATGCCAGGCACGTGCAAGCAGGCCCCTGAGCTGGGCACCGTTGGCCAGGTCATGGCTGTGGGGACACCCAAGAGAACCAAAAATACGGGTTAGACCCGAGCTTAAGGCTGTAACTTGGGGTCTGCATGCAGAGCCTCCATCCTATGAGCAACTGGGACAGACCCACAGGCTCCATTGTGTTCACTACGAACCCATACCACAGCCCAGGTCCAATTTTTGGGGCCACTGCTGGCAAATACCCTCAGCACAAACAAGCTCTGGATGTTCCCAGGGAGCTGTCATGACCAAAACCACAAAAGATTTCATTCTGCCTCGTTGCTGAGCAGTAACCCATCAGAAATGATGGTGGGCCACACGCTGCGGGGCCACACATAGCATCCTTGCCTCTTGCAACTCCGTGTCCCCAAACAGGGTTCCCTTGGGCTCTCCGTCTCTGAATTTGGTCAGTTTTGGTGCTTTCTGGCAGGCCAGGTGTAGCAAGCAGGTGCTTCCTACATTTCAGGGCTGAACATCCATCACCCAGCGCCCAGCACAAGCCTCACCCTGCCTCCCTGCACGGAGGCAGGTGGAGGTTGCACCCAGGTCTGGAAGCACTCAGCCCCGGTGCTAGGTGCCAGCTACTTGCAGTTATTGTTTTATTCTCGCCCTAAGAAGACAAAGCAAACATTTGCATTTTTTTTTTTCTTCTTGGATCTGTTTGCTGCTTTAATTTCCCCTTTGTGCTGGCACTCATTCTGCTACTAACAGCTCTCATTGAGGTTTGATTAGTTCTTTCTGCTTCTCCTGGATCCTCTCCAAGCACGAGGGCCAGGGACATATATAGAGATATATTGCTCTAAGAACCCAATAAGCTCAAGGAGCAGATTTCTTGGAAACTTTCCCCATTCCAGGCTTTACCCCTCCTCCTGCCCTTCACCCCCTGCTCATTTTTCCTTTTTCATAAGGGCTCCCTGTTATTTGGCCACGGTGCCAAGTTGGCATCGCAGCTTTCCCTGCTGCTGGATTTCCATAAGAAGGCGGCATTTTTCACAGGGATTTAGATCTCAGCTGTATAAATTTGCTCGGGGCTGTAGCTCAGCTCACGGAGCCTCTGCCACAGAATTGCATTTGAAAAGTGCCGAAAACGCTCAGGAACGCCCGTCTGGGTGTATTACAGGTGATCCGTAAGCTGCTCTGCTGGGAAGATGTGCAATTTTGATGCTATTAAAGCACCAGCTTGGAACACGTAAGGAGAGCAGCAGATGAATAGAAGAGCATTTTCCTCCTTGGGAAAACCCAACAAGTATAGATGTGTCTGTAATACTCTGGCAGCCCCACTAAAGAGGCTCATCAAGGCTCAGAAAGCCAGAGGTGCCTCTTCTCTTTTTGGTACCATCTCCAAACGAGGGCTCTCCATCATCTTCACTGCCACAAGACAGAGGTCGAACATGGGGGCTAAACAGCCCCGGTGCAAGGTGGGGACCCAGCTGGGGTCAGGCAGAAAGCCACCGTGCCGTGGTTTTTGCCTCCCTCACCTCCTCGGGTGCCCCTGTGCCCCAGCTCGAGCAGTGCAGAGAGTTATCCCCAGCAGCAAGCTCGGGGCCCGCTGAGCTGCGAGCACACGCCGGTCTCTGCCTTCGGGGTGGTCTTCAGAAGGGAACAGTTTCCAGAGCCCTGAAACAATGGCTAATTAAAACAATAGCTGTTGATTTATATATATCCACACGCACGCGCGTGCGTGTGTGTATATATATAAAACGAACGTGGCTCCTAGGGAAACGTGGCCAGCGGGATTGTTTGTGCAAAAGGGGATGGGACGGGTGGCACTTCAGTAAGGAGGTGAGCGAGGAGGAGCAGGAGGAGCAGGCAGCCCTGAGCAGGTAGGAAACACCAGCCTGCGTGCTCCTCAGCAAGCACCCAGTGCTTCTGGACACAGGTCTCCAGCAACCCTAGGGCAGAAGAAGGGAGATGGGAGGTGCAAGGTCCTTGCCCCAAATGGGACAGGTGGCTTCTCTTGAACCAGGGGAGCCAAGGGGAGCTTCCAAGGGTGTGAGTTAAAACCTGAGCCCGATTTTGCAGGGTTTCTCGGGAAGGAGCTGTCTGCTAAGTCTGGGAAACCTCCACCGGGGAGAGGATGCACACACATGGGGAAGACTCAGCTGCGGGCTCTTGCTCCCGGCTGCCCCATCCCCACCTCGTTCCCAGCACCAGGCAGCACAGCATCAGGCATTTCGCACAAAACCCCACTAATCTGGGTGTTGCCTCCTCCCATGCACTCCGGCTGCAAGGCGGCTCCGCAGGGGCCGTTCCGTGCCCTTCCCTGCCTCTGAGCCTCTCCTCCCCATGTCATGTTCCCAGTGTCTTCAGCCCGGCGCTGCGATTTCTCGGCCTAATGAGCCGTTTATATATATTACAAGCGGTATGCTTTGCCCTCGTCAGTCCAATTAGTGCATTCCTGGCGGGCTGGCGGCCGCGTTTCCGTACTGCCGGCTCCGTGCTCCTTTCCGGTGGCAGGGGCTGAGCCGCCCGGCCAAATTCCCCACGGTGCTGGGGGGGCTTTGTTAACCCCCAGCCGCTGCAGGAGGCATCACTGGGATGTCACTGCTCCAGCAGCCAAGGCTGGGGTTGTCTCTTTTCTGGGTGCCCTGGGCACAGCCTGCGTCACCACATGCGTTGTGACAGCCTCTGAGTCCCAGCCCCAGCCAAAAATCACGGGGACAGAGCCACATCCATGGCAGGGACCCCCCTCCATCCACAGGGGCAGGCATCCTAACAAGGAGAGCAGAGGCAAAAGCAGACAGCAAAGCTGGCGGGAGGCAGTGGCACGGGTAAATTTAAGGCACGAGAGTGTCGCTCTGTTTTATTTTTCAAAGCAGGCTTCTTTCAGCGTATTTTTATAGGGAATTTCTCCGCGGCAATTGATATTTCCCTCAGGGACACATCTTCTCTAGTGAAAACGTCGACATCGTGACCCGAGAGGGAGAAACTCCAAACAAACAACCAGGATTTAATTACCAGCCTGCTCGCTGGATGTAAATGATCTACGAAAAAGTATACAGTCCTCAGCAGAAGCAGCAAATATTAACCAGGGAGGATGACCTCTCTGTTTAGTTTACAGCCGGAGGGCTGTCTCTGCTCCCTGCGTCCCGGGGCATGGGACCCGTCACAGATAAGGGGCTGCCGATACCTTCGGTGAGGCCCCACGGCGAGAGCATCCTCGGGCAGGGACACGGGCACGGGGGACATTTCCCCATGCATCCCCTCGGAGGTGATGGCAGCGCCGGCCCCGTACCAAGGATCCGTCTGGAAAGCACCACTTCTGACAGTTTTTCTCCCCAAAAAAGCGGCTTTGCAGAAAATGCGGTGTGCCCACTTTTCACAGCAGCCAAAGAGCTGGGCTCATTTGCTTTTTGTAGATGGTGCTCCCGTTTTCCAGCCTGAAATGATGTTTTGTTTCAAAACACCCTTTATTTTGGATTTTTAAACGATTCTAAAGCACCACAGTATATTTCAAAGCGATTGAAACCAGATGGACCCCAAATTACTTGTTTTCCTTTTTTTTTTTTTTTTTCAGAACTCTGTTTCACAAAAAAAGAATAAAAATTCAATTGGGTTTTTGTCCCAATGCGGGACGCATGCTTTTTCTCCAAATTCTCAAAATCTATCGTCGGAAAGTCTCTCTCTTTTCTGGCCAGCTCTTGCTCATATGAGAGGATGGAAAATATCTGGAGGCAATGTCAAGGCATGCTGAGCTGCCATTTCCATGTTGTCTTTCCCTGGTGTGAGCGAGTTTCCTCCTGCATGCTCAGCCCTGGGAAATTTCCTTTTCTCCCCACTCCCTCCCCAGCAGGCGCATCCTGAGGGTCTCGGGGAGCTGTGGTGACAGCCGCAGGAGGGTCCCACCTCGCCGAGGCCACGCGAGCTGGGGGTGGCACTCATGGGTCCCCAAGCTGTGTGCTTTGTTATGGCCTCAATAATTTGTTCTTGGTGTGAGCACGGAGGGCTGGGGGGGTGCAGAATTGCTCGTGTTCCTCCCCTGGGGGGTTATTCATATTCAGAATATGACAGGGTGCTGGGAACGAGGACAGGGACCAGAGGTGGGATTGCAAGAGGAGGAGATGAGGTTGGTACTGAAATGGTCCTGGGGAAACAGCGAGGTAAAAGGAAGGGATGGGGTTTCCAGGGAACACAGGAGGGTTTCCCATAGGGATTACAGTGCTTCCAGGCTGTAAATGGCTGCACAGAGAGGCTAGTGAGCATGCTGAAATAACAGCAGGGCACGGTGGCTCCTCCATTCCCTCCTGCAGCCTTCTAGGACACAGCACATGGACACAGGGCGGTGGGGACAGCACCAAGCTTGTCTGAGCCAGCCCAGGGAACTGCAAGGCCATCCAAATTACTGATTTTCACCCTCTTTCTTCCCCAGCTCCTGCCCACACGTCAGCCCTGTGTGCTTCGTGTGAGCCAAGCACTAACCCAGCCTTTCTGCTACAGATCGAAGCGGAGGACCAGAGCTGGCAACCTTCTGTGGCAGGGAGACGACGGACACGGAGCAGGCCCCCGGCCAGCAAGTCATCCTGTCCCCCGGCCCCTACATGGGGCTGACTTTCAGGTCCGATTTCTCCAACGAGGAGCGCTTCACTGGCTTCGATGCCCACTACACGGCCGTGGGTAAGCAGCACGCAGCCTCTGGACCTGCTGGACGTGGGGGGGCTGCAGCGTGTGACCCCCCTTCTCCTTGCTGTCACCATCCCACCTAGATGTGGACGAGTGCCTGGAGAAAAGCGACGAGGAGCTGGCGTGCGACCACTACTGCCACAACTACATCGGCGGGTACTACTGCTCCTGCAGGTTTGGCTACATCCTCCACTCCGACAACAGGACCTGCAAAGGTACTGGCCGGGCACAGCACGGCCGTGGGGATGGTCATGCATGGTCATCTCATGAGGGATGAGATGTGGTTTCTCCCTCAGCTAAACTCTAGAGATCTCAAACAGGAGAAATGAGAGGTTTTAGTCTCTGCTCTGAGTATGGCTGATGAAGGTGAGATGGGTTTGGCTCTCAGCCCGGGACCCTCCGCATCATGGGCATATGTGGAGCTTGGCTTGTGAGGTTCTCCTTGCATGGACCCACATTCAGGGCTATAGACCCCATCCCATAAAGGGGCTGAGCAGGCAGGGTGCAAGCAGTATCAGGGGCTGGGATGAAGGGGAGCTGAAAGCTGGGTGCTCATCAGCACCCTTTATCCTGAGCGTGGCCGGGGCTGGGGGCGGCTGACGGGGCGCTGATCCATCCCGGCTGTGTTTCAGTGGAGTGCAGCGACAACCTCTACACCCAGAGGAGCGGGGTGGTCACCAGCGCCGACTTCCCCAGCCCCTACCCCAAGAGCTCAGACTGCCTGTACCGCATCGAGCTGGAGGAGGGCTTCTTCATCACCCTGAGCTTCGAGGACAGCTTCGATGTGGAAGACCACCCTGAGGTGACCTGTCCCTACGACTACATCAAGGTGAGCTCGCCCTGCCCCGCTATCCTGTCATACCCCCAGTGTCCCGATGATGGGGCCAAAATGTCCCCAGTCTAAATGGAGATGATGAAGCCAGCAGGAGCCCCATGATAGCTGAACCTCTTACCACACCTGATGGTGACCCTCTTTCTGGCCCTGGGCCCAGAACCAGTCCACATCGCCCCACCACATGGTGGTGAAACATCCCAATCCATCATCCTCAGGGTGAGGAGATCCCCAGGTATCCACACCCCACCTCAAGCCACCTCTTTCTCTTGGCAGATCAAAGCTGGCCCCAGGGAGTTTGGCCCTTTTTGTGGAGAGAAGTCCCCAGGACGCATCGAAACCCAAACCAACAGCGTGCAGATCCTCTTCCACAGCGATAACTCGGGGGAGAACAGGGGCTGGAAGCTGTCGTACACAGCAATCGGTAACTCCTGCTGCTTTCCCTGGGAAATGGGAAGGAAGGGCTTTATATCTGCAGGTGGAAACCTGTTGTTTTGCTCTGCTTGCTCTTTATCCAAAGGAAACCCGTGCCCACTGGTGCAGCCACCCATCAATGGGAAAATCGAGCCTTCCCAAGCCAAGTACACTTTCAAAGACCAGGTTGTCATCAGCTGCAACACCGGCTACAAAGTACTAAAGGTATGGGGTGATGGTGTGGAGCAGGGAGGATCCCTTCCTCCCAAAGCCATCTCATCTCTGCTTGGGAGAGCAAACATGACCCACACCCCCGGGCCTCCTCCCCAGGGCCTAGGGCACAGCCTCCTCTAGCAATTTTTAGCTAGAAAAGGCCTCTTCCAGGGAGGTCTGGTTATATCTTTACTGAATTGCCAAGAATTTGACTTTTTATAGGCTCATACACTGATGGTGTTGTGGTTTCTGTTTTGTTTTGTTCGGTGTTTCTGCACAGGATAACCTAGAGAGCGAATCCTTCCAGATCGAGTGCCTGAAGGACGGGACGTGGAGTAACAAGATCCCCGTTTGCAAAAGTAAGGAAACCCCATGCACACCCTGGCGATGTCCTTTTCCTGCTGAAATTTCACACTGGATGGAGCTGCCCTGCCAGAGCGGAGCTCCTTACTCAGACCCAGCCAGAGAGACTACGTAATTCTGCAATGCTCTCTTGGCTCTTTCTTGGGTAGCATAACGGGGCTGGGTCCAAATGCCACAAGCAGGAGGTTTGTGCTTTCCCTTAGATTACTCATAAGTTGATTTGCGACCAGCTTGGCTGTCTCCCTGTCAAAGAAAGAGCAACCCTGGCTCTTGGGAGCTGGGTGAGCGGTAGCACAGACGGCTCTGCTGCCATGTGAAGGATGGCAAATTCGGGGCTGAATCCTGCTCTCGATGTGAGAGCAAGGGCTGCGTGAGATGGGATGACTCCCTGCTGTCTAGAAAACACCTACGAGCTTCCACAAAGATTTTTTATCTGCAAAACCTGGGCATGGATCAGATCAGACTCACCTCTGTGGTGATGCACCTTCATGAATGGCTGCTGCTGGAGGGAGGGAGGTGGCTGGTCCTGGGTGAGTGAGGTGGGATTGTTTGAGCTGTTAGATAAATCTGACACAATTTGGGATAACCTGGTTCCCACTCCAACTTTCCCTCCAAATGGAAGCTGCTAAGATCACGGGCTTTAGAGAGGTGCCAGGTTCTAGCTGGGCAGTGCACAGCTAAGAGAAAGGGGACAGAAAAGTTGCCCAGATACTTACAAACCTCAAAAAGAGAGAAAAGAGGGAAAAGAAAGGAGATTCCATTTGCATCAGCTCTTCTTTTGTCTAACCCAGCTCCTCTCAGCTCAGGCCCGGAGCTGTGCTTCTCATGTACCTGATAACACCTCTTTCCTTTCCCCAAACACTCGCCAGTACCTCTCTGCCCCAGAAGGCACTCACTGCTACTCAGCCTGCTGTAAGGCTGGCCCAGAGAGGAGAAAAGCAACAAACACTCTCAGGGAAGGTCCCAAGACCTCCCAGGACAGGCAAGACGAGATGCTCTCAGGGGATGTGGCACCCAGGTTCTCCCCTTCTGGGCATATCCTTTTTGTTTTAATGATGTCGTGGATCTTACCTTAGGAGTGTATTTTTGGAGTTTTAAGTCACGTTTGCTCATTCAAAATGAAAAATGGGAGGTTGCCAGACATGCTAAATAGATTCCTATCTGAAAGGGCTTCTTACAAAGTATGGGATCAGTGATGTCTCTGCCCCACCAGAGAACTACCCCTCTCACCAGCAGCTTCCCATTCATTTTATCCAGCTTGGAGACAGATCAGATAAACACTGGCATTGCCTAGAAAAAAAATGCAAAAGTTAGATATTTTTAACCCCCAAAGCATTAATTTTTGGAGATTACCTGCACTATTCCATTTGGGCTGGAACTGGTCCCTTCTTGCGTGAGATAAATCACTACACTAAATTTCTGTGGCTTTCTTGGAAAGCCAAGAAGCCCCTAAATGGGCAGTCCAGGCCTTCAGACTGCCGTGCCTCCCACCTCCCCTGTACGTCTGTCTGGGAGAGACGAAAATGGTTTGAAGCGAAAAGCAAAGAAAATAGAAACCTCCCCAGCCAAGGTGGATAACATCCAGCTCTGCAGCCTGGCCAGCTTCTCCCAGCCACTGTCCCCAGATCGCCCCGGATGAGCCGAGCGGGTCCCCATCAGGGTCCCCATCGGGGTCCCCATCGGGGTCCCTGCGGCTCCTGGTGCTCGTTACAGATCTCTGGTGTTTTGGGGGCTGAGTTTCCTGCATGCCTCTCTCTGCTCGGCTACTAATTGAGCTTTCTCTCTCTGCTCTCCTCCTTCCCCTCTGCCTTCGGTGCAGCTGCAGACAGAGCCGACAACCAGACAGACAGAAGAGCCGGCTCGGAGCAAGTGGCTGCGTGAGGCTGGCGCCGGCCGCGCCGCCGAGACGGGCAGCCTGCCTCCGTGCCCCTCTCTGCTCTGTCCCACACCCAGGGCAGTTCCCCTTTGCCCCTGGCTGCCAACTCCATCTCCGCGGCTTGTCTAACCGGCATGGTGCTCCTAACCCCCTGCGCACGCTGCTTTCTTAACTCCGTCTCCAGAAGGGAAATTCGGAGCCGAGCCCCCCTGTCCATCCATCGGCCCCTCTGGGAAGGTCCCTGCCTGTCCCCGGGCTGCCGCCAGCTCCTGGCACATCCTCTGCACCCCTCCGGATGCCCCTGGCCATGCACTGCTCCCCTCTGAGCTGGTGGTTGCGCAAGGAGCGTCGGCCCCGCACATGGTTTGTTTGTTTGGATTTAACCTCCCGCTGCCCTTCCTCCCTGGCCCAGCGTCGCAAATAAGAAACACTCCTTCCTCTCCTCTCTCCGAGCATCCTTTCAGCTCCCCCGCCCCGGGGTGAGGGAGGATGGGGTGGCATCAGCAGCCTTCTCCTGCCAGCCCTTGGGAGGATGCGTGCGGGACCGAGACCTGGCACGGGTACGGGGGATGCTGGATGCTGCTCTGCCTCCCCTCGGTCCCTGCTGCTGGCCCTGCGGAGGTGAGGATGGGCTGGCCTCGGGATGGTCACAGCCAAAAGAGGGCAGAGCCCCGTGTCTGGCCCCATCTGTGTCCCCAAGAGCCCAGGATGTGCACCCAGGGCTCCTTGAGGTGTCGGGGGCTGCACTGGGAGGGGGATCGGAGGCTGGAAGAGGAGGAGGAGAGTGCTGGGGGGCTCTGCATGGCTGTGCTCTTAGGAAGGTGGCTTAACGGCCCCTCTCCCAAGGCAAAAGTCTGGAAGAGCTCAAGGCACCAACTCCCCACTCCCTTTGGGCAGGACCCAGGACATCAGTGGGGCAGCACCTCTGTGCAGGAGCCCATTCTGGCATCAGGGCTGCCCCCCACATGTGGGACACGCAGGGAGGGAGCAGGTTGTGTGGGCTGGGGGGCACAGCCCTGCAGCCATAAATAGCCCCAGAGCAGACGTGCCAGCCACACCGATCCCCCAACACCCATTTCCCCCTTCCTACAAGCCCCAGCATCTCCCTGCACCTTATACGGGTCCTACAGGTGCTGGTACCATGACACAAATCCACTGTGCTCCTAAGTGTGGTGGAAAGAGAGCTTGGGGACCCTGGGGCTGGTGACAGGAGTCTGTGTCCCCTGCTCTGCCCCTCTGCAAGGCACAGGAACCCCAAGCCTCCTCCAGCCTGGCTGCATCCATCCCATCGCCCGCTGTCCCTGCCAAACCACAGCAGAACAGAGGGGACCCTGGTGAGCAGCGAGCCACAGCATTTTGCCATAAACCAGGCTTTTTTCCCCCAAGTGGGTGGCTCACCCTGAGCATCGCTACATGTCCCTGGCGCCAGTGTTGCTTCTAGTGATTTTTTTCTTCGTTAGCCTGGATCACCATGGTAAGGCTCCTGACCTCGCTGCCTGCTCTGCTAGCCCCCTCCCCATCCTCAAGCACCCAGACCCACGGAGCTCACGTGCCCCTGACACACTGGACCTCCTTTCCCATCCTCTCAGCTTCAAAGTGGCAGAGCCCAGCTCCGCAGAGCTGCATTTCCCAGGCAGGATGGGACCCTGGGTGGGTGGCACAAGCCTGGTCCATGGGAGAAGAGGCTGGGCAGGGCATGGTGAGGGATGTGGAGGAGAAAGGGGACCACAGACAGACCATGGGAAAGGGCAATGGCACCCTGGAGGTTGGAGCAGGTAGGTTTTTCCCTACAGCTGTTCATCTCCCCCTGCCTGCAGAGCAGCCAAGCCGTGCTCTCCGTGTCCTTCATCCCTGGTTGTCACAGGAGAGTCAGGACCAAGGGGTGTAAATGGTTATCAGCAAGGCTTGCTGAGCAGGTCCAGAGCAGGAGGGATGGGGCTGTGCTACCGACAAAGCCTGGTGTGTGGAGGAGATGTTTGGTGAACCACTGCCTGCTTTTTCCTGTCCATTCATAAGGCATGCAAAGACAAACTGCGGGAGCATGTCCTGACAGCTCCTGCCCACCTGTGCAGATCCCTTCCCCTCTCAAAACTACAGCAGATCTCGTCCTAAACACACAGCTCGGGACATCCTAGGAGGGATGGGAGCCGAGCCAAGGAGCTGCCTGAGCCGTGCCAGGCTGTGCTCCTTGCATTGCCCTAAAGAAGCGAGGTATGGGGCTATCGGAGCCTCACCCTGCCCTGTAGGACCACCACCCACGCTGAAACCCAGCACTGCCTGCACGGGGCTGGGCACCCCGAGCATGGTCACAGGGCTCAACCCCGATTCTGTGTTGGCTTTCAGTTGCTGACTGCAAAGAGCCGCCGGAGCTGGAGCACGGCTTTGTCACCTTCTCCTCCAGGAACAACCTCACCACCTACCGCGCGGCCATCCAGTACCACTGCCAGCACCCCTACTACCACATGGCCCCCAACAGCACCGGTGAGCGAGGGGACAGGTCCCCATGGTGCGGGTGGGCATGTGGGGGGCACCAGGTATATGGCCACAATGGGGATCTCCGTGCTGGGGGGAGCACCAGGTCCAGCAGCCCTAGGAAGGGCTCCTTAAGGCACCAATCCCAAAAACCCATCGGAGCCAAAGCCCTGCAGAGAGCAGTGGGATCATGGCAGGCAGAGCTTCAAGCTTATCCACCAGCAGAGGCACCATAATGGGGTTCACAAAACACCACGGGTCTCTGCACCCTTTGGATATGGCTCTGGGCAGCAGCCCGGGTGCGCATATGTCCCAGCCCTTCTTCCTCCTCCTCCCTCAGTATGGAAAGCCAAAGAATTTCCTCACATTCCTGCCTCCCTGCTCACAGCCCTGTGCATCTGGTCCCCGCACCCAGAACTCATTAGTGTAATGGGCAGCAGCAGCACTAACGGGGTGGCAGCTCAGAGGGCTTCAAAAGGAGGTCACATCCTGGAAAAGGGTTCAGAGGGTCGCGATGGCAGGGCAGCATTTCACTGCCCCTATACTGGGGCCACCGCCCAGCTAACACACTGCTCTCTTCCAGCCACCTACACGTGTGATGCATCAGGGGTGTGGAGGAGCGAGGAGCTGGGCACGGCGCTGCCGTCCTGCCGACCAGGTACTGGTGGGGACGGGTACCACGGGGAGGGGTGCGGGGATGTGTGGGGAGGGGGCTGCCTGCCCGACCTCGCCTGCTGCTCCCAGGCAGGGACCCCCTCCTCGGTGACAGAGCTGTGTGCTGTACGTGTCTGCTGCTATGTATGGCAGAGAGGGCAGTGAGGATGAGGTTCAGGAAGGCAGCAGCAATATGGGCATGTTCAGCCCTCAGCATCGCTGGAGCTGGCTCCAGCCAAGGGCAGCGCACGACCTGCCCGGTGGCGCCGGCTCCCGGCTGCCATTAGCAGCGTGTCCCCATGCAGGAGCAATTAGCACGTCTCCGAGCCTTGCAGAAAAAAACAGGGCCAGAAGTCCCAAGCCTTTGAGCAGTGGCAGAAGCGTTTGCAGCCAGCAAGTTTCCAGGCCAGGCGCCCGCTTGGGATTAAACAAAAGTCCCTGGGACGTGGGCTGGCCACAGCCGGCTGCAGACGGGGCTGGCGGCAGCCCTGGGTGCAGGCTGCGGTCGGATGTGCGGGGACGGCTCTCCGGAGCGGTGCAGAGACACGGTGGCAGGGCTCAGCCCCACGGCAGGTCTCGCTGGGTGTCTGCTCTCCAGAGACCGGGGCTGCGGCTGCTCTCGTTTCGGCAGCTGCTCCCTGCATCCCTCCTTGATGTTTCAGCCTGAAATAATTTGTGCCGGGAGCATACGGGGACATTTTTCGGGGCCTTAGCTGCCTTCATGGGCCATTTCCAGACCTCCTGATTAGTGACAGAAGTCACAGGGAGGCTTCAGGAAAATGGAAAATCCCAGGGAGAGGGTGACGCTCTCCTGAGATTGGGATCTGCAGGCAGCAGCTGGCCAGCTGCTCTTCAGATCTTCCCTCGTGTCTCACGCTACCTCCCCATCAATAGAAACTCCTCTTCCAGGCCACGCCGCGCCTGCCTCTGCCATTAGTGGGAGCATTTGCAGCCTGGTCAGCGTTTTTGATATGTAATTTAATAGAATAAATATTTGGCTGGATGCGCTTCCTCTAAAATCATCTCCCCGGGATGGCTGTCAGCTTCGGTGCAGCAGCACAGCTGGGCTGGGCTGGGAGGCAGGAGCTCTTAGCCCGAGCACGTTTTCAGTTCCCTGCAGCACTGGGGAAGGCAGGGGAGTGAAGCGCAGACAGATGCTCCCCACACTCTCTGAAGTCGCAGTTTTCCTAGCAGCAGCCACAGCAAATCCATGTCAGCAGCTCCCAGTGCTCCTGCCCCAGCTCTCAGCACTGATCCCATCACCTTGGGAGCCTCCTTCTGGGAGGCTCAGCATCCTCCCCTCCCGACATGAGGGCATGGGGCAGAGTCATGGCAAGCCCAAACCGTCTCCCACAGCCTCCCAGTGTCATCAGCACCCCTGAGCACTAACCAGCCTGGGACTTCCCTCCCTGGCACTGCCCCAGGCACGAGCCAGCTCCAGCACCATCACCTTTGTCCCAAGGAATATGTTCCCCAAGGGCACCTTGGTTCTCAGAGCCACCTTCAGCTGCTGAATTCCTCCCGGTGGGTCACAGCACATGGATAAAGCACCTGGAGGCAAACCAGGCAGCACATCAGGGCCCCTCAGACATAATTCTGGGTCTGCTGGAGCTGAGCAGAGGGAAGCTGGTTTGGCTGCCAGAACTGCGGCGAAGACTTGGGATGCAGGAGTAAAGCCCACGGTGCTAGGCAACATCCCGCGGCCAAGCCTCCTCCGGCCACAGCTCCTCCGGGAGGGTGAATGCCATGGCCGTGACACCACAGGCCTCGTGACGGGTCTCAGGGCGAGGGGTGAGGCCGGGCTGATGTAAGGCTCCAGCCCTCCCGGTGGCGTTCCCCTGGCACAGGCTGAGCAGGAGCCCAAGCGGCTGGACGGCTGGGGAAGGGCTGAGCGAGCTCACGGGGCAGCGTGAGGCTGCAGGATTACTCACTTGGCCTTTCTGCTTCTGAAGTGGTGTGGGTCCAGCCAAACCACTCCAGAAACTGAGCTGCAACGGGAGGAATTGCAAAGTGCAGGCTGGCCCACCAGCCAGCTCTGTCTCCCAAACACCAGCACAACTGTACAACCACCCTTCACATGGCAGCCCTGCTTTACTGCAGCCCAGGCCTGGCAGGAATCCTAGCATCCACCAAGTTTTTGACACAGCAGCGTTCTCCTCCCCTTCCGTAAGGAGTCTGGTAACACCACGGTGCACATCTGGAGCACAAATCACACAGGTGTAAGCCAAGAGTAAGATCTGATCCTACTCAGAGAGCTTGAAGTCCCACCCTGGCTCTCCCTTTGTTAGGTCTGTGCCTGGCTTCAGTGGCGGATCTGGTACAGCTCTGGGGTAGTTATCACTGGGTAAAAGCCTCCTCCACATCCCCATAGTGTCCTATGAACTGTTCTCATAACCCTTCCCAAGCTCAGTGGATACTTTTTGGGACAGAGACCTACCAAAGCTGGTAGCCAAAACTGTGCCTAGAAAGCCCAAGGCCTCATGGGCAAGGGCATCTACCTTCTGTTTTCACAGCCTGCAGCAAGGGTGGGAAAGGAGAAGGCAGGCCGGGAGGCTGCTTTTTGGAGCAGACATGGTGGGACAACCTAGGCCTTGGCTGCCCGTGGCTGAACCCATGTTGGAGTCCTGCAGAGCTGGGACAGCAGCCAGAGGGAGCTCCTGGCTCTGAAGACGCCTCCTTCCCTGCCCCAGCAACTGGCCTAGCGGCCAAGCTTGGTCTCAGTCCCACCAGCTGAAGAATGGCCTGGTCTGGGCAGGCTGCCATAGCCATGGGAGCCACGCAGCCATGCTTCAGGGTGCATGGGGAGATGCAGAGGCAGGTCGGACCCTCTTACCCCCCTGTGAAGGTATTGCAGGTCCCAAAGGTGCAATGATGGATGGCACTGAGCAAGGTGCATTGCATCATTGCAGGTAGATTATGCCACAGGCCAAGTGGTACCTCCTGGGAGAGCTGCCTGGGACCCTCCCTTGGGTGTCCCAGGGTGCCACGTGGGAGCAGATGACAGGATTATGTCCCCCCCCCAAATCCTGGAAAGCAACAGATTATACTGTCCCATAGATGAGACACTTCTCTAATCTGTCCCTATTGACCACAGCCACAAAAAGCATGGACAGAGGGTTTGGTATAGTTACTTTTAACTCCAGGAGAGCATTGTCCCTATTGTCCGGGGCCCATGGGCAAAGCAAGATGTTCTGTGCTCCAAAAGTGTTGCTGAAATAGCTCAGGCCAAGAGAGAACTAGCTCCATAAGGGCTGAACAGGGTCTGCAGGGGTCACCCCACCATCCTCATGGCCATGAAGATAACCAGCCATGTGGCATAATCTACAGGGAAGTCCCTTTTCATTTGTTCCCCAGATAGGTGCTGGGAGTAACAGTGCTGTCCGTTTTGTCCCCAGTGTGCGGCCGGCCGGCTCGTGCTCTGCCCGGGATCATCAAGCGCATCATCGGCGGGCGCAACGCGGAGCCCGGCTTCTTCCCCTGGCAGGCCCTGATTGTGGTGGAGGACATGTCCCGGGTGCCCAACGACAAATGGTTCGGCAGCGGGGCCCTGCTCTCGGACTCCTGGGTGCTGACAGCCGCCCACGTGCTCCGCTCGCAGCGGCGAGACAAGACGGTCATCCCCGTTTCCAAGAGCACGTCACTGTCTACCTGGCCCTGCACGACGTGAGGAACAAGATGGAGGCCGTCAACCGGACGGTGGAGAGGATCATACTCCACGAGGAGTTTGACATCCAGAACTACAACCACGACATCGCCCTGGTCAAGCTGAAGGAGAAGGTGACCATGGGGAACTACGTCATGCCCGTCTGCTTGCCCCAGTTCGAGCACGAGCTGGAGGGACCTCACCCCAACACACTGGGGCTGGTGGCTGGCTGGGGGATCTCCAACCCCAACATCACCGTGGACGAGATCATCAGCTCGGGCATGAGGACGCTGTCCGACATCCTGCAGTACGTCAAGCTCCCGGTGGTGCTGCATGCGGAGTGCAAGACCAGCTACGAGTCCCGGTCGGGGAACTACAGCGTGACCGAGAACATGTTCTGTGCTGGCTACTACGAAGGTGGGAAGGACACTTGCTTGGGGGACAGCGGGGGAGCCTTCGTCATTCAGGACCCAGGAACCCGGAGGTGGGTGGCCCAAGGGCTGGTCTCGTGGGGTGGCCCGGAGGAGTGTGGCAGCAAGCAAGTGTATGGGGTGTACACCAAAGTCTCCAACTACGTGGACTGGGTGGAGAAGAAAACAGGCTCCTCAGAGAGGTGGACATTTCTGGACCCTGAGCTGGAGAGATGAGTGACTAAGCACTGCCTGCTGCCGCAGCTTCCTTTCTTCTTGTTGTTTTTTAATATGCTCCAGACTCTGGTCTTTCGCAAGCAGTAGCCACGATGCTCAGCCGCACTTCGGGCCTTTGCCAGCCCTCCACGTCATCCGTTGCGCTTGGTCCCATCCCTTTGCTTGCTCTCTTAGGAAATGCTTGCTAGGGAGCTGGGGGAAGGGAGCGAAGGGTGAGATCTCATCTGGCATCCGTAGCTCATGCTGCCGGACTCCAAACCTTGCCCACCCTCCCGGGGAGGCTCCCTCCAAGCTATGACAAAGGCACAGTGACAGAAGCAGCATTTCCCTGCCACCAAAGCCTTGGGCCATGCACAAAGACTTGCCCACACCCTCAGGGCTCTCAGGCCAGCTCTTCCCATCGGATGATGTAACTGGAGGAGCAACAGGGGCTGTGGACAGCATGGGAAACCTGGATGGGCAGGCCTGGACCTCACAGGTCCCCCCCACTGCGTAACACCTTTTCTGTGCAAGGAGCAGTGAGAGAGCCCTGTGGGTTTGCTGGTATTTGTATCTGCAGATAAACATCCCTTCCTGATGGCATCTCAGGTGATGTCCACCTGGCCCCAGGGATGTGAGGATGTGTCCACATTAGCCCTAAACTTCAGCCATGGCTGGAAAGGTAATGGCTGCTGAGATGGCACCGACCCAGCATATGGGACGGCCAGGTAAGCTTAGCTTCCTTCAGCAGGGACATCAACTCCTTCACTTGCCAGCAAAGCCCTCCTACAGCTGTAAGCAACATGCAGCAACTGCCTGCTGTTCCCTCTGCATGCCTCTAACCTCCTTTGGACCTCTCCTCCTCCTCCTCCTTTGGTTTTGCCATGCAAGAAATGAGTCAACAGTAAACGAACCACTCTCCATTTTGCTATCGTCCAAAAGGCCATTTGTAGAGCATGTAGAGGAGCAGAAGGCCTAGGAAGGTCTGATTTGCAGACACGCTAAGAACTGTATTCTTGGCTATGTCATGTAACTGCGACTGTATTTTTATATATATATATATATTTCTTTTTTTGATACATTCTGTAAAATATCCAATGTCATGTAAGGATGGTTCTGTGTAATCTTCCTCTTGAGAACAAAATAAAACTTTAATATTTACTGAGTTTGTGCCCTGAGGCTTTTATTCCAGGCAGATCAAGGTCAAGGACTGAGGGCAAAGGCAGGTCGTGAGTCTGTGCCACACACCCCTGCTCCTTCTCCATCGCATCTGCTCTCTGTCCATATCAGTCCTTATCAGCCATGCCCTCAGCTCCACACAGTCCAGCTCTGCATCACACAAACTCTTTCCATGGCCAAGACAGAGGCTGGAGCTACTGGATCTCACACACAGTCATCCTGCCCACCCATGTATAGCAGTGCTGCAAAAGACCAGCTCACTTGAAAGGGTGAAGCTCCTTAGCCTTCAGTTGGGTTCGACAACCTGTGGGCTTTATGAGCCTGAATACTACCCAGTCTCACAGTGATCAGCAGCCAGAAACATCCATATCACTTTGGGAAATCTGTCTGCAATTACCATCAGCTTCAGCAAGCATTTGCTGAGCAAAGAACAGCCAAGGCCCGCTAGAAACCTCCCCATGGACCATTTCCCAGGCTTCTGGTCGCTGCTGGTAACGCAGGCTGCTTTCCACACTGCCAGCGACACAGAATCAGAGCCCCTCCATTCCACATGGCCTGGGAATGCAGCAAGTACTCAGGACCATATGGCTCTTTGGAAACCCTTGGAAACAGCAGGAAAAGTCTGGGAACCCTCTCAGGGTTGTAAGACCCAAGTGATGGCCTCCAAGTGCCTTTCGCTCAGGCTTAAGGAGAGGCACCCCGTATCCTTTTACTCCAACACACCCCACTAAGGGTGACTGAGGAGTCTGGGTGTTTACACCCCTCACATTTCACTTTCTTCCCTCTGGTTGCAGTGTGTGGGAAGCCCAGGTTTTCCAGGAGCGCCGTGTCCCGTCCCGCAGGCAGACACCTCTCCCAGCGAGGAGCCTCCCCCTGGATCGCCATGCTCTCTCGGGGCGGCCGGCCCTTCTGTGCAGGCTCCCTTCTGGGTAAGCCCATCCTCGGGGAGATGCTGCAGGACGTAAAAACCAGGCTGGGAATATCCTGCCTGTGGTTAGGGAGGATCGCAAGATGCTGGGAGCCTCCAGCCCACTGCTGCCTGGGGACTCCCAGGCTCAGATGTGGTGCCTTTGAGCTTCACCATCCTGCCTGATGAAAATACTGATGTAGTTTTTGAGCAAGAGCAACTAGGGTGGACTCTTCAGAGGGACGCTGATGCCCTGGGGGTTGTTTTCTAGGGAACAAGTGGATTGTCACCGCAGCCCACTGCCTCCACAACGAACTGGACACGGAGAACCCCCAGCTCCGCAGCTCGTATCTGCTCGCCCCTTCCTCCTTCAGCATCATCCTGGGTGAGCAGAGCACTGATGGGGGGTTGTGGAGCCATGCCCAGGGCTCTGCTCTCCCCACGGTGGCTCTGGGCACAGCTTGCAAAATAACCTCTGAAAGGCACATGCAGAGCATCCAGCCACAGTGGGAGCTGCCCTAATGGCCAAAGCACCATGGAGCCACCTCCCCCTTTGGTACAAACATCTTCCTGCCTCCCCTCCCTCCCAGGGAAGCACAGCACCCTGAGGCAGGATGACACGGAGCAGCAGATGCACCCCAAAACCCTCCTCGTCCACCCGTCCTACCGCCCTGACACCTTGGAGTACGACATCGGGCTGGTGGAGCTGTCTGGGGCAGCAGCACTGAACGACTACGTCATGCCCATTTGCTTCCCCGACCAGGAGCAGCCACGAGGCAAGAGCTTTGCTGCCCTCCTTTCCCTCTTCTGCCATGGGGAAGGGGCTCAAGAGGTGGAAGGGAGTGGGGATGAGGAGTGGCAGCAGCCAGGGTGCACCCCGAGAGTGGCTGGGTGATGAGCGAGGGTGGGTGCAGGAGGCACCTCGATGTATGTGAGATGTCTCGGGGAGGTGGAGAGGGAAAGAGACAGGGTGTTGAGGAGAGGCAATGGCAGGGATGAAATATTGTATGAAGTGGTGCTGGAAGGGACCTCACAAGGCCTCTAGCTTGGCTTGGGATCAACCAAGTGAAAGCATCCCTGGCATGTGCTTCTCAGACCTCACCGGGGAGTTAGTACATCAAGACAGCCTTCTAGAGCTGGAGCCACAGTGTTTGCTGGTGGTTAGCCTCCTCAGAGACTGTATGAAGGTGATACACTCATCCTTGCACCTCTGAGTGATCTGTGAACCCAGAACCACAATCCCCTCCCTCTCCTCTTCCCAACCCCTTTGTCCCTTATCTAAGTGTGGCCCGGACATCCTGCCTGACAGCTGTTTCCCCGGGCTGCCACACACCTGTGTGAGGTCCAGGCGGCTTTGCCTGCTCCACACGTCTCTTCTAGCTCCCCAGCACAGCTATGGGACTCCCCAGCCCCAAACCACAGCTCGGATGGGGGAGCTGGGGCAGGAGCTGCCAGGCAGGGGCAGCCTTCAGGAGAAGGGAGGTGGGAGGCAGAGACAGCATGAAGGTGGGCAGGAGGAGCATCCAGCATCTCAGAACCACCAGACAAGGGCAGCACACACGGTGAGCAGTGCAGCATCTTCCCTTTCCCTTTCAGACACCCTGGTCATCATCAGTGGTTGGGGGAAACCCTTCCTGCAACGGCTTCCCGAAACCCTGATGGAGGTGAGAGCTACAGCTGGCCTCAGGGGCTGGTACAGAGATAATTTTCAGCAGGACATGGCACTGCACCGTGTTCCCATCACGGTGGGGTTCCCTCTATGGGGCTGGGGCTCACGCAGCACTTGGTGAGAAGAGCTGGAGGCTCAGGAAGTGATGAGAGGAGGCTGGATGGGGGAAGCAGGAAGAAATGAACCAAAGCACTTGCGTTGCAGGTAGAGGTGCCCATTGTCGAGCACAGCGAGTGCAGAGATGCCTACGCCAGGCTCCACAGAATGGTGACGGATGACATGCTCTGTGCTGGGGAGAAAGAAGGTAAAATCCGTGCTGTTTCCAGCCTCATATCCCAGTTCCTACTCCCTGCAAGCCTCCCAGTTCACTCCACCAGGGTGTCTGGGTTCCCGGAGAGGTTCTGCAGCAGTTTCCACTCCGTGCAGGTGGGAACGATGCTTGCAGCGGAGATTCAGGCGGTCCCATGGTCACCTTCAGCCCCGAGAAGAGCCAGTGGCAGCTGCTGGGCACAGTGTCCTGGGGGGACGGCTGCGGGGTGAAGGAGCAGTACGGGGTTTATTCCAGTGTCATCCGGAACCTGGAGTGGCTCAAGAAGGTCACAGCAGTGGAGCACTGACTTCCAACCACCGGTGTCCCTGGGCACGGGGAGCCCAGCAGGTGATGCAGTGGGCTGCTAAAGCCCAGGTGTTGATGTGGACCCATGGGAAATGAAAAAGGGAAATAAAGCAGATTTCTCAGCCCAGAAAAAGGGAAAGAATTGTGGAGGAGAGGAGTTTTTTCCTGCAGACCCAAGGGGAGGGCTCGCCTCCTCACCGCTGCCCAGGGGTGTCCCAGCTCCCTGCCCCGCGGCAATGCACAGGTTGAAGGCAGCTCGGAAACGGTCCCCAGGGGCTGCAGATTGCAGGGAAGCCTCTCAAGGCCAGGAATCCTGCAACACCGCTGAGCCCTTTGGCTTTCAATAAACTCCCTCTTCAGAAGTGCTGGGGAAAAAAAAAATATTTATCCCTGAAAGCAAACAATTAAACTGAAGCGCCTGCAATATATCTCTTGTTCCTAAGCATCACGGGGGAAATGCTAACAAAATCCCCCAGGATTGCAAATCGCCCTTCGTCTCTGCCAGCTGGGCTGGTGTCCAGCAGCGCATCCACCACCAGTCACTACCGACTGCGACTTCCAAAGCCCTTGGGCTCTCCGTTTACGCTGTCAGTTTATTTTAAGCTACTTGGGGATCAGAGATAACGCACCGAGGGAAAAAAGTGCTGTGGTTCCACCAGCATTTGTGGTTTCACCTGTGCAGGGCGGATGCTGAGGGGCTCTGCCCCGTGTGCAGGCTGGCAGTGTGCCTGCTCAGATACAGCCCCTGCAGCTTCATGGGCTGAGGCAGACCTGGACTGGCCAGGAATGCAAACTGCAGGGAAAAGCAAGAGGTGAGAGCCTGGCCTTCAATTATTTATAGCCCTCGCGTGTCATTAAAGATGGATTTGGTGGCAGGAGCAGAGCGCAGAAGAGCGCAGAGCAAGAGAGAATAAAAATTAAAGCTGGGTTCAATCAGCATGCAGAAAAAATAACAGGTAAGGGACTTTAGTTTTAAAAGGGGTGAAGAAGCAGCCCGTCCCTGCTAGCTGTTGGGAGAGAGCACATCCTCACAGCAGGAGCTCTGCAGCAAACACGGATGGAAGTTGGGGCAGGGACACAGCTCTGCTGAGCATCCCTTCCCCAGGCTGTGACAATCCAGCCTTTGGAGGGAGCCTAAGCCATGGGCATGTTTCCTGCCTTGTGCCCAGATCCAGGGCTGGGAGCTGGGCTGTTGGCCCCCATTTTCCTACAGCACAGGACTGGAATAACACCACTGAGCTCCTCGGGGTTCGCAGCAGGGTGGCTGCCCAGGCTTGCTCACGCCCGGGTGTGCTGGCATGTCCAAAGACATCCAAAGAATGAACGGAAGGAGAAAGAAAAAGCAAAAGCAAAAGATGGTCCCCTGGGCATCAAACCATCAGCTGCAGGACCTGTGCCTAGACAGCTCCCAGGCAAGTTACAAAACGCTGCTGCCCACAAGATACCCATCACAAATAGAGCCTGTCCTCCTCCTCCTCCCTCCCACAGCTCTGCTGGGAATTCCCCGATGCCACCCAGCCCGTGTCCCCTGCGTGCCACCAAATCCTAGCCCCTTGCCCCAGTGCCATGGGAATGGGAGTGGGCAGCAGAGGGGAACAGCAAAAGCAGCAGCCGGCCACGCGTTCCTCGACACCTTGTGACCTGCCGGGGTGCTGAGAGCCTCTCGCCAGGGAGACAGGCACAGAGAGAGCAATTTATCAGTCAGGTTATGGTAAAAATCCAGCAAAATGCCCCAGGGTGAGGTTTGCCCATCCCTGGCCAAGTGTAAGCACCAGACATTAGCTGCGGAGGAGCCCAGCCCTGGACAGACCAGGGTGGCACAAGAGGGACAGTGAGGACCTGCCCAGGACCCCCAGCATCCCACCAGGAGAGCGTCCTTCATCCCTCAGCCACCTTCCTTGGGCTCTCTGTCTCCACACCTCTCACCTTCCCTGGTCACTGTGCTGAGCTGGGGGGGCTTGCTCTGACCTCCAAAAGTGCCAAGAGCCATGGAGAGCAGCACACGGAGGGCACTTTGCTAAGAAACCTGTGGGATCGGCACAACTGCACATCAGAGCGGAGTATCCTGGAAAAAAAAGCCCAAAAATGAGGCTGTGGCTCAGAAGTCCATGTATATATGGGTGTTGCTGAGTGATGGGGAGGGGATGAAGCAGCTGCACGATGGAGGGGGCAGAGCCCCCCCGTACACACACACAGCACAAGGAGACAGGCAGGCAGCATCAGCCAGGGGACTGGGGAAAAAGCAGCGTATGCACGCAAGGCCATGAGTGAAGGAGCCTGGGTGTGTGCGGAGAACATTTCAAGGAGGGTTAAGGGATGCCTCTGCCCTTGCAAAAGAGCAGAAGAGACACAAGCAAGAAAACAAGGACCCCCGCAGGGATGCAGTCTCCACCAGAGCTGGCTTCGCAGGAGGAGGCGAGGGAGTTCCCCCTGCAGCTGGGTGGCTGGGCAGGCACCATGACCGACTGGGGCTGGGAAAACCTCAGCATGGAAAGAAAAGGGCCAGGGGCAACGGCAGCAAGAAACTTGGCAGCCTCTCCGCCTTCATGACATAACGCTGGCGGGGAGAGGGCTGGTCCCAGCGCCAGGGATGGAAGGGACAACATCTGCAGCACCAGCTCCTCCTGCGGCACAGCTCAGCCCCTGGCTGAGCAAGGAGAAACCTCCAGAAAGATGGGGACGTTCAGGTTCTCCTGCCCAAAATGCTCAGAAAACCCAGTGCTTTGCTTGTGCATCTCTCTCCAGTGCTCCCAGATTGGAAAAATCAGAGTGAGAGACCAGCTCAACAGGCCGGCACCATCCCCACACAGGGCATGGGTTGGGGGAGCCACGCTGCAGGGAGCCAGCAGGGCACTGGGATGGGGGAGAGGGCTGCCCCCATTTAGGGAGGGCTGCCCCCTCCCAGTGCTGGCAGGACACTGGTCCCAGTGCTTCCCAGTGCCGTGCCGGAGATCTCGCAGCTCCATCTGCTGGCGCTGGGGCTGAGGGAAGCAGAGGAGGAAAGGGTTGGGGAAAGGGAGAGAGAGTTGGTGGGACAGAGAAAACCCCAGAGAGAAGGGCAGAGATGAATAAGCAATGCAGCTCTGGGCCGTGGGGGCTCAGGGACACACACACACTGCTTGCAGGTCCTCATCTGCACCTCAACCTGGTCCGAGTGGCTGTGGAAAAGGCTTTGGAGAAATTACAAAAGCACAAATGCATCCTCGGGCTGAGGACAAAGAGCTGGTTTATTCTTGCAGGTACACTCCATCTTTTTTTTTGGGGGGGTCGTCCCAAAAGAAGCCATCAGACCCACCAGGCTCGCCCAAGCTGGGGCCAAGGTGCCCAAGCAGGGTGGTGGTGGCCGTCCCTGACCCCTGTGTGCTGGGGAGGCCTCGAGACGGGGAAAAAGGCTGGCCCTGGGCACCCAAATTTCCATCCACCACTCTCATCATCCCCATCCCCACAGCCATCACCCCGGCTGCCCTTTGCCAGCCCCAGCTCCCACTACTTCAGGGTGAAAAAAAGCACGATGAAGAGGATCACAGCCAAAATAAATACAGAGAGGAGCACAAAGCAACATTGCTTGCGAAAGCTGCCGCTGAAGAGCTGGAGTGGAGGGCTCGTGGCCGTGCCCAGATGCCTCCTGGGCTTCCAGGTTGGTGTCTTTGGGGCCACCAGTGGCTTGGTGCAAACCCCAAGCCGGCAGCCCTCGCAGTGGCTGCTGTCGTGTGGTCCCGCCGGCACGGTGTCCACCACCACTTCCAGGAGTTCAGAGGGCTGCACGGGCACGTTGTAGAAGTCCTTGAGGATCTGAAGAACCAGGTTGTGCAGGATCCTCTCCATGTTCTCCTGGCTGAAACTGGGCTCCTCCAGCGGGGCGCCGGGGCAGCGCCGGCAGCTCTGCCGGAAGATTCGCATCCTCACCTTGCCCCGGCGCATGTGGAAGAGGATGTGCACCTTGGCTGAGGACCACTTGTGTAAGCACTGGGAGCACTGGAACCTGCCGGGGGGGCACAGGGGACACCCGCTCATCCCCGGCTCCCCGCGGCAGCCCAGCAGCTCCCCACGCCATCAGTAGGGAGCAGGGCAGTCAGGGCTGAGGGATCAGCTTCACGCAAGGACACCCATGGCCTGGCCTCCCCCGTGGGCCTGACACCAGCCTGGGTAGCTCAGCAAGGTGAGCTGGGGGCTGGCCCAAGCTCTACAGATTTTAGGATGAGCCTGGTGCCCTCACCCATTCGGACCCCCCCACCCCAAGCAGAGGCCCTGGGGGAGGGAAGCATCCGGCACCGGCTCCATTTGGGGCTCCAGCCCCCAGCCCGTGCTGTTGCAGCACATCTCAGCGGAAAGCCAGCATCAACAAGGGGCAGGGGAAGTCGAAAAAGAAGCAAAATAGAAGGAAGGTGTGGGTGGAGGCCACAGGGCAGGTGAGGAGATGTCTTGAGCAGTCAAAAGGGGAGAAACCTGCAGCTCCTCGTCTCTCACAACACGTACGGGGGCTGGGAGCCCAGCACCCCTCTCTGCATCCCCTCCTGCCTCCTGGGCTGCAGGGTGCTGTGGCACAGGGCTCTGCACCCCTCCACTAAGGTCACCCTGCTGGATCAGGAGGCTTTTTGGGGAGGACAGCGGTGGTGGTTCAAAGGGGACCGAGTCGGCAGCCCCTACCTCCCGGCTGCATGCTTCTGCAAATACTCCCTCCGGCCGTGCTCGGGGTTGTGCACCTGCAGGCTGCCATCCTCCTGAATTATCCACGGCTCCTCCACATCCATGTCCGCAATCTTCTGTGCAAAAATCTTCTGCCATGTCCTCATGGTCCTGCCTGGAGCCGGGGAAGCGGTGATGGCCAAGGTCAAGCTTGCAGCTTCTGGGTGTTGCCACGTGAGCAGCTCTCGGTGCCCCACACCGTGGGTGCAAAGTCACATCCTGGTGCCTGGAGACGGGAACCTTTGCTCCCGCGTGAGCAGCACCACCCCAGCCCACTCCCTGCATCCACTGGCTCTGCTGATGCTGTGCCACACCTGGAGAGGTGAAAAGTTCCCCAAAGCAAAGCCAAGGCAGCTGTTCCTGATGCGTTTTGCATGCAAGACTTGGGCACGGGGCAAGCTCCCATCCCTGCTGAAGCTGTCATCGCTGCTCCATCCGTAGGCAGAGAGGCTCAAAATGCAAAACCTCCATGCTGGCCAGGACCACCAATATCAGAGCAATGGGGCAGAATCAGCAGAGATTTGGCCCAGCACAGGAATAATGGAAGCAAAACCCACCGAAAATGCCGAGCTCAGCAGCTGACAAAACCCCAGGTACACTTATCTCTCTCGATAGCTGCCACCAAACATGGGGTGTTTTTAACAACTTTCAGCCAACTCGAGCAGAAAAAGCCTGACACGAAACCGCAGAGTGGAAAGTCGGGGACAGTGGCACCGCACATAAAACCGAAAGTGGGGAGGTGAGCTCTGTGCCGAGAGGTGAAAGCAGTGGGGCCGGGGCTGCTGGCACCCCCCTGCCTCCCCCATCGCCGGGCATCCCACCCGGAGCCACGCAGGGTGGGTGGATAAGGGGCTGAATGGCACCTGGTCTTGAGAGAGGAGCTGGGGGAGGATCTGCAGCCCAGTGGAGCCACCTCGACGTGAAACCATCTCGTCTAGCCTGAAGGATCCAGAGGAGACCATCCTGCGCACAGAGGGCGCAAAACTCCCCAAAGTGCCCACCCTCAGAGGGTACCACCAAGGATGCATCCCCTGGGGAGAATTACAGCAGCAAATCGTGCTGGGTGCCTGAAAAAGGCCGTGTGGGCCACCACGGTTTGAGCACAGGGGCTGTAACCCCTCGCCAGGTGTGGCGTGCAGCAGCTCCCCAGGACGATGCCGAGCTTCTCCTCCAGAGGCTGGAGAAGCAGCAGGGTTCCCTGCAGGCACACTGCCTCCTGTGCCTGTTTAATCCTCGTTTTGAGGTCCTTCCACCCTTAATCACCCAGAGCAGGGCCAGGAGGGATGAATGAAGGGAAAAAGAAAAGGGGAGGCTGCGGGGATGCCAGCATTGCTCCCCGTTTCCCTGCTGCCCCTTGGGCTCGGGGGGCCGGGTGCCTCCAAAACCCCGCTGTCATGGAAAGCCTGCCCCGCTGCGTCACGGCAACACGACTCAGATCTCGACTCGGGGCGCAGAGCCCTCTGCGAGGAGCCGGGCGCTGCTCCCTCTGTCAGAGCCCGGTGCTTGCCGGCACTGAAGGGACTTTCCCAGAACCACCCACAGAGCTGAAACTGCTTTGACGTCCTGTTCCACTCGGCGCACACCTCCCAGCGCTGCCCCAGCGCCCTGATGCTTACAGGCACCTGCCTGGAAAAAAAAAAAAAAAAAGCTCCCGTGGGACCCCCGGCATGGCCTTGGTGGGCACCAGGCACCAGCCCCATCCCACCATGGGGCTGGACCCCACAAGCCCTCTCCATCCCGGAGCTCCAGCCCTGACTCCTCCGCGGGATGCGTGAAGGAGAAGATGAGGCACAGCCCGCGAGGTGCTTTCCCTGCCACTTTCACACAGCCCGAATTTATTTTTGGCTTCGGTTCCCACCCCCAGGTGAGCTGGGGCGTGAGGAGGGAGGTGGATCCCTTCCTCTCCTCCCCTCCCAGCTCTCGCTGTGCCAACATTTTTTTTTTCAGGGTATTTTTGCTCCTTTCTCCAGCTCACTCGTGGATTTGGTTTCTAACCCTGATGGCCTCCACAGCCTCCCTAAACAGCAGACTGCCTTCATTCAGTCCATGTACTTCCCTTCCCCAGAAAAACCCTATCTGAAGAGCCTGCCATCGCGGGCTATTGATAACTCTTTTGGGGATAGAGCTTCTCAGGTAGCGGTCCACCCACAGTGGGAGAATTTCCCATTTCCCTAATTTGCTTACGAGAACGTAACATAACACACTGCACAAAGATAGCATCACTCCCAGTTTCCTTGCACCACCCAGCTCTAATGAAAAGAGCATTAGGTTGGTTTGACACAATTTGTTCCTGCTAAATCTACGTTCTCAGTCCCAGCGCTGCCCTCTCGGTGTTTACCGCTTGGTGGCCTTACTAATTTGTTCCAGCGGTTTTCCGGGTACCGAGGCTGACTCATCTGTAGCTTCCTGGATCCTCTTTTTTCCCTTTCCTTGATGCAGATGGCAAGTTTGGCATCCTGTACCCTCCTGGGAGCCAGCACCGTGCCAGCTCCCTGCGCCCCTGTCCCCACGCCAAGCTTGCCCTTGTGCCACTGCTTGTCACCCCGTCACGGCGAGGCCCACGTCCTCTAGGGACCAGCATCCCTTCCAGGCTGGGCTTCCTTCACGGCTGAGCCCTTAGAGAAGGCAGGTCTGTCCCAGGATGGGTTTGAGGCATGGAGAATCAGATCCCAAGGAAATGGGGACATGTCCGAGATGGGCTGCGGAAAGGGGACATCGCTGCCTTGCCCCCAGCCTTTTGGGATGGAGAAGGATGCTGAGCAGTGGGGTGGGATATAAGGGGGGAACCGGCTGAGGAAACACCATCAGGTACCACCCCGAGTGGGTTTTGGTGCCCCGTTGGCCTGGTGGCCCCGTGGTGTCCCCCCTGGTGTAAGGAGAGGGCTCAGCCCCCCGGGGAGGCTGTGCCCGGTGCGGTGGCAGCAGGTTTGTCCCCGGGCGCAGGGCTCAGCACCACTCAGCCAGGCAGCCCCTCCAGCAGCACATCCCTCCCAAGGGAGGAAGAGCGAGAAGGAGAAACCATGGAGCCGACTCAAAGCAAAACTAGAGAAAGCAAAATGAGGGCAGGAGGAGGAAACGCAGATGTTCGGCAAGCCTCCAGCACTCTCGGTCGCAGGCAGGGCAGGGCTCTCGGTGGGATTGCATGGGATGAAGGAGATGCTGTGGGTGCAGAGCCATCCGGACACATCGGGGTGGTGCAGATGGGCTGTAGCTAGGGGTCCAGGCAAGCTGCCCAGCAGCACGTCCGACCACCTGCAGCACTCATCCCACCTCAGCCGCTCTCCCAGCCGGACAGGGCCATGGAGATGCTCCCTGGCCACCACACCTGGGGGGCCAGTCCCACCCAGAGGTCACCACCTCACCAACCCAGGGGCCAACAACTCGCACACCTATCCCCCTGCAGCCCAGCCCTTCCAAAAAAAAACCAAAACATTGCTGTGAAACCTCCCAGCTCTCCACATTTTTAAGTGACCAGGACGCTGCTTGCTTCTAAGTGATCTTATTGCCATGTGGCCCTACTGTCCCTTCTTCCCCCTACACGTGCAGTGCCCTATTTTGCAGGAACAGGGCTTTGATGTTCCATGGCATGGCTCTCCTCGAAGACACTCCTGCAAGCAGCAGAGGATTTCCTCTCCACCTTCCTGCCCACTTCCTCAAAACCCAGCCCTTGGGTTAGGGCATCTTTAAGGGACTCAGATGTTCCCAATCACCTCTGACCACAGCTGGGCTACATAAGGAGCTACAGTGGGGGCTCAGACAGCTCTGCTGGGACATTTGCTTGCTCAGGTACTTTATTTTGTGTGTGAAGCTTCTTGTGTGTGCTGATGGGGACCAGCCCCAGCTCTCGGAGGTCTCGCAGATGTGGGACAGGAGCTGGGGTGAGCCCTGCTCTCTGGGTGCACCTGAGATGCTGACAAAGCACCTCAGTGATGCTAGAGACAGCCCCCGCTGCCCTGAGGAAGTGTGGGGTGGCCGTGGTTGGAAGTGGTTGCTGTGACAGACCCGAGAGAGCAGGAAATGCGGTGGCTGCAGCCAGCCCGGCTGCTCCCCGTCCTGCACAGCACCAGGGCTGGCTGGGCGCACGGCTGCAGGGTGTGGGTGAGCTCTGGTGGCCACAAGGCTGAAGTGAGTGAAGTGAGGGAGCTCAAAACCAGAGCGAGGTTTTTTGGGGGGTCTGGCTGGCTGCTCTGCAGCAAGCTTTTTCTCTGCAGCCTAAACAGAGGTTCATTAAAATCGTTCCCCTTCACAGCAATGCAAAGCAGCTGCTGCAGAAAGGCCAGAATTTGCCAAATCCCCCAAAACTTCCTGATCCATCACAGCCCAACCTTGGTGCAGGCAGGGAGAGGTAAAGTACTTGCAGGGCATCAGTCCTTGAAGATGTCAACTCAGCCCCCTCAGGAAACCTGATGCAAACCTTAGCAGGGGTGGACATGAGTTGCTTGGGTCCTTTCTCTATTTGGAGCAGAAAAAGGGTGCCAAGTCGGTGCCAATGCCAGCTGGCATGGGCATGGAGGTGGGCAAAAGCAGGAGGGCTGTGACACAGGGAGAGGGGCTGGGAAGGAGGGATGTGGGATGGTGGGGCTGGGAAATCCAGAACTGGGAACCTCTCAGGGTGGGAGACAAGACAGGTGGCTTCAGGTGCCTTGCAGTGACCCCAGAAAGACGGAGCTACTGTCACCGAGCTGGAGGGAAATCGAAATAGTGGCTGATCTGTTTTGCGTGGAAAGATGGAGCAGTTTGGGCGGATGGAGACAGCCTCCAGCTTGGCTTCCCACCCGTGAGCATCCCCACCATGCCCCCCAAATGTCCCCAGCCCCACTGCCTTGCTCCCTGCGAGGCACGGGGTGGTGGCCAGGCTGCTGGGTGCCCCGAGGGGCGCAGGCGCTGCCGTGGCTCAGGTGCTCGCTGGGGTTTTATTAAGTGCTGAGCCCCCACGGCGTGCCTGGCACCCCTGCTGCCCAAAGAGGCAGGGTGGAAAAAATGAAGCAGGGCCCACCCTCCTGCGTGTGCTCTTTACGGGAAAGGCAGAACCAAAACTGCTGACTGAGCTCCCACTTCTTGCTTGCTGCAGCTGCCTCCTGCACGACCATTGCGCTGCTGGGGCAGCGCGGCGCTGCTGCAGGGCGAGGAGCGGAGCTGCTCCTCGCACCGAGTCCGGATGGACTGAGCCACACTGTGACGTGTGTGAACGCGGGGTGAGATGTGCCACTGCCCCAGGGGAGCTTGCAGAGGGTCGGGGGACTGAGCGGGGCCACCACATCCATGGCCCTGCCCTAGGGAAGGATGTAAGCCACCCTGGATGGATGCTCATCCCAAACGATCTTCTCTGGAGGCTTCTCATGGGTGGCACAGCCCCCAGAGGGCACGGCCCTTGGTGCCTGCTGTCTCAAGGCGATGCTACTTTTAGCTGTGGTAACGGAAAAAGAAAGCTGCTGACAGTGCCACGAGGTGCAGTATGCAAATGGCCCTTTGTTTGCTTGGGGTTTCATGGGCTCCCAGCAGGACGCTGCTGCCTCCAAGCCTGCTTCTCACCAGGGCTCCTCCAGTCTCTAGCGGCTGCTTTCTCTTTTGGTTTCTGTAAGCTTTCGGCTGGGCTGCGCATCCCTGGCATCGCTTTCAAGGGAAAAATGGAAGTTTGGAGACAGATTCGCAGCTGGGCTGTGCCAGGCACCACACCACGAGCATCACGCTGCGTGGTGACAGCCAGTCCCCGGCACCTTGTCCCCAGCTGGGCAGGCAGAAACCCCAAACTGAGCCCAGACAGGGGAGTGGGGGGCTTTTTTGTGGCTGTCCCAGCCCTGTCTGCAGCCAGGCCCAGCCCAGGCAGGGCTGGAAAGCAGGGAGCAGCTCGTTCTCTAAATTATTAAGAGCAGCTTCATGGAAGAGCGGCTTGCTTATCGCGCAGAGGGGCCCAGGAACCACAACAGACGCCGACGCCGCCTCCCGGCTCTCACCTGCGTGCTGCCAGGAGCTGTTATTTGCCTGCCCACGCGCCTGCCACCACGAGTCAGCAAACAGCCTGGGTGCCAACCTCTTTATTCGCCCCCACAGCCGGCTCCGGCTCCCACCAGGCACAGCATCCTCGTCCCGGGATGCCCAGCGGTGCCCCTCGTCCCCGCGGAGGAGGGAAGTGTCTGATAGCACCCGCCAGCTTCCCAGGGGCTCGATAAATAGCAGTACGTGCAGAAGGCCTTGCCCCGAGCTGGCACAAGACCCTGGGGTGGGGATGTTGCTCCCGTGGGGTGGCAGCTCCCAGCACTGCCCCTGTTCTCGCTCTGGAGCCCATCCCAAAGCCCTGCTTTGCCGGCAGGGTTGGACGCAGGGCGGCTGTCCCAGATATCCCCAGAGATTGACGCTGAGAGGCCATCCCTTGGCACAGACCCCTTGGCATCACTGCTCGGTCCCATCCTGCCCTTAGTACGGAGGCACCTGGAGCCCAGCACCAGGCCAGCAGGGACCTGTCCCCGTCCCTCGGTGCCTGTCCCGTGGCCGTGACACCAGCACAGCCAGCGCTGTCCGACACGAACTGCAGCAGCAGCACCTCCACCACTCTGCTCAGCACACGCCTGGCTTTGGGGCCAGCCCGGCCCTCAGCAGGGCTGTGACGGGGGCTGCCACGTCCTCTCGTCCAGGTGCCTCTTGCCCCGCTCGGGTGTGACAGGTTTCTCCTCGGGGAAGATGATGGTGGCGTACTCGGTCTGGTCATCCGGGCAGGTCTCGGGAGGCAGCTGGGTGTGTGGGTCCCACTGAAACTCCAGCACGCCGTAGTCCACGGTGGAGACGGACACCACGGGTGGCTTCTCTTCCTTCTGCAGAGAAAGAACACCCCGTTGGGATCCATGCTCTGCCCAGAGGCACCATTCATTCCCAGCATGAGTCCCTTTGTACAGCAAGTGCCAGAACGAGCATCCCACGAGGATGAGAATAATGCAGAGGGGAAGGATGTACAGACCTGGGGTGGCATTAGTGCAGGGAAACCAGACCCTGAGCCTTGGGGTCACCGCAGATAGGTCAGGGTCCCTTTTCCCACCTCTCCATGGCACCAATGGCACAGGGTGAGCGTGGGGCTGCAAGTGCTCAGCCCAGAGAGGGAGAGTGAAGGCTGCCCTCAGCCACCTAACGGGCTTGGAGGAAGACAGAGCCAGACTCCTTCAGGCAATGCCCAGCAAAAGGAGGAGAGGGAACAAGCCAAGCTGCAGCGAGAGTTGGGTATGGAGTGGGAGAGTCTCCCATTATTCACAGCAACACAACTCCCCACCAGATAAAACTTTGCTCTGAGCAAGGCTTGGAGTAGAGAGGCCCCCGTCCTGCCTCAGGTGGTTTTTTGATTTTGTGATGGGGCTGTGCTGCAGGTGCAGCCGTAGCGGTGCCGGAGAGATCGCGCGGTGCCAGAGGAGATAGGGGAAGCGAGAAGCCCGATAAAGGGAGGCCCCGTGCCCTCCGCTCCCGCACCCAGCGCCGCTCCCCCGCAGCACAGCGGGCTGTCGGAGGCGGAGAACTCACCTCCGCGGTGTTTTCACTTGGTGGTTTCTGCACATCTGCAAAGTAACACATTTGGTTAGGAGGTGCTTGCGTGCCAAGGCAGTCTGAGCAGCTGGGGCTGACCCAGCCTCGTCGTGCTGCTGAGCCGGGGCTCGCCAGTCCCCTCGTGTCCTTCAGCTCCAAGGAGAGGTGCAGAGCCTCAGCACGTGGGCTGGAGGGCGAGCAGCAGCCCTGAGCACCCTTGTCCCACCAGCACGGAGATGCCTGTCCCACAGGGACAAGCCACACTTGAGTTTGGGCATCCAAACCAGCCCGCGTGCACCCCACGTATCCATCTGCCCCCGGGTCCCAGCTGGGTTTCCTGAAGGAGCATCACCCCCCGAGTCCCCTGGTGCACCCCCAGCCCCTCGGCACGGTGAGGGGGGTCCCCGTGGTCCCCACCTCCTCTCCTGTAGGTGACGAGGCAGTAGCCGAGGACCACCAGCACGACCACGCAGCCCAGCAGCAGGACGCCCAGGATCACGGCCTTGATGTGGCTTGGGGGGCTGCTGTCCTCCACGCCGGGCTCCTCGGTGATGTTTATCTTCTCAGGGGCTGCTGCAAGAGCCGTGACAAAAGCCAGCAGGTCAGGAGCGTAAAATCTCTGTGAATGGCACCAGGGGAGCACAGGGGGTGTCCCCAGAAAGGGCTCGGTTCCAGGCTGGCTGCTACAGCCCTGCCATCCCTCCAGGACCCTCAATTTGGGCTGATGTGGGTTTTTTTTTGGCCACGTTCCACTCCTCCTCATTGCGGGTGGTGAGGATGATCCCACATGGGGTGACAGTGAGGGTGTAGGGGCCAGGATACCCACAGGCAGTCTCACAGCAGGACCCCATCCCCATCCCCAAGGAAAGCACAGCTCCCCCAAGCCTCCCAGACACCTCCACAACTTGGGGCCAGCTCACACTGGCAGGAGATGTGTAAGAAGACTAAATTTTGCAGTGTTTTCCCCTTTTCTTAAAGAGAATGCCATCAGTAAGGACTCATTCCTCCCCAGAGCATCCTTGGGGACAGAGATGTCCTGTCTCAGGACCAGACCCAGCTGCAAGGTGCTCAGGGAAAGGACAGCCTGCTGTGTCCTGGACCTCAACGGTACGAGTAAAGGGCAGGGCTGTGCTCTCCTCACCCACACCAGGTCCTCCCCAGGAGGGTGCTGCCTGCCTGGGGCCATACATTTCACCAGGAATGGGGTTTCTCCATCTCTGGGACGCAGCCCCTTGGAGGCACCGCAGCTGAGATGCCACCAGCATGCCCCTGGAGTGGGGAGCAGGGCAGAGGGAGGACATCACTCCATAGCTGACGTGCAAAACCCCACAGGGCTCTCACCAAAAACAAGTCCGGGAGTCCCCATCCCCTCGCCATCCACCCCAGTCCCTACCCTCCGGGGTGGCACCGTAGGGTGACACCGACAGCCTGTCCCCTTCGGCTGACCTGTGACCACCAGGTGGGACCGGTTGCTCTCCTCCACTTTGTTGGACTGGAAGAAGGCGATCAGCCCGCAGTAATAGGAGCCCGAGTCATTCTGGTGGAGGTTCAGGATCTCGATCTTGAAGACCGGATTGTGGTTGGAGAGCAGGTACTTCTCCGTCTTCGTCTGGGGGATGCTCCGGCTGATCTGAGCAATTTTTTGGGGAACGCTGTGGTTGGTCTCCTTGTACCAGTTGAGGTTGTACTCCAGGCTGGAGTTGTTCTCTATGGAGATGTTGCAGAAGAAGGTGGCTGAGCCGCCTGCGGGGCGAGTTAACGTGGCTGGGGAGAAGGTCACTGTTGGGGAGAGAAGAAGCAAGGAAATGACACGGTGACAGCGGGCAGCAGGAGCAGCCGTGCCCCTCGTGGGATCCTGGGCTGCAGAAAGGGTGAGAGCCCCCTGCAGCCCCCATCCCGCACGGAGGTGATGGGCTCCCAAGCCCCTCGTGCTCCTGCCTCGTGTGCCAGAGTCCCCGCACACTTCTCAGCTGTTTCACCCTCAGCTCCTGAAGGCCCTTAAGGGGATTTGTAAAAATCTGCTCGCACGCCAGCCCTGTGACCTGCACCAAGTGGGCTCAGCAGAGACCCCTACAATGAACCCACAGGAGCTTTTGCACCAGAGAAAATGGACTTCAGGGAGGGGGAGGCATATTATTACTGCTATTAAATCCATGCTCGGTGTTAACATCAGGTTTCACCCTTCCTCCAGCTGGTGTCACCTCCAAAAGCGAGCAGAGGGACTGGATCCCTGTTTGGGGCACCTCAATTCTGCCCACCCAGTCCCAGCAGGGCTGCAGGCATGGGCCAGGCACCTTCTACCACCTCCTGAGAAAAGCCAGGGCTGCAGAGCCCAAGCAGTGCCCTCTTGTCCCCTAGCAAGCCCCTAATTAGCAAGAATTAGCAATATTAATCCTGCCCATCAGACTCTCTGCCTGCCTCTCACTTTGGCTGCTTGAGCCACTGGAACCGGGTGATGTCCTGGCACGGACAAGCAGACCCAGCAGGAAGAGGTAGCTGCTGTGCTATATTGGATTCAGAGCAATAAAAAGCAGAAAATAAAATTAAAAAAAAAATAATAAATCATGTAGGTTTTCTGACCACATGTGATCCAAGCCATCGGTGAAGTTTAACTTCCCATTTTTCAGCAACCAGCACCGACACCAGCCCCTAGACTTGGAAGCAGGATCAGAAAAGTGCCCTCTCCCTTCAGCATTGGCCCGAGGCTGGTACAAACAGGCTCACCAAGCAGAGAAGGAACCGGGACAGTTCCTTGATTACAGGATTAGCTGGAAAACAGAGCTTAGAAAACTGAGAAACGATACCAAACAGGAGGATGGAGAGAGGGAACTGCTCCGGCTCCCAGCGGGCAGCGTTTGCTGTGGCAGTGCCTATGCCAAGAGTTTTAATTTTCGCAGTATTCTGAGTTTCTTGTGTTTAACAGGAAATATTCAGCAGGCTCAGGGCTGTGCTTCCTACCGAGCACCACTCTCAGCAATGAATGAACCGCTCGGAGGATGTCCCAAGCAGTCCCTGTTTTTACAGGTGTCCCTGCCTCCCCCTGGCACCAGCTGCCATCGGTGCCTGGGGAGGGTCCCACGAGGGGCTCCCAGCCCCGTGTTCACCACCGGGACAGAAAACAACCGATGCCACCAAAGCAGGGACCTGGCCTCACCAGGACTCTTCCTTACCCTGCCCAGACTCCCCCATTCACCCTCTCCACCTGCCTTTCTCTCCCGAAATTTCACCCCAAACAAAACCAGAGGCAGAAGCCTGGCTCGGTGCAGATGAAGCCCACCCCAGGAGGCGAAGCACGGGGGCATGAAACCCAGAGCAGGAAACCCCAGCACCTGACAAACCCAAACCTCCAACACCAAACCCCAACCGTGGTCGGCACGCAGGCAGCCAGCCTCACACCCCACCAGCACCGCGACCTCAGCACCTGGCCCTTTTCTCCATCCTTTCACCCCATTCCTCCGCCGAGCGCCCCCCATTCCCCTTGCCCCTTCCAGTACCCCAAACCTTTGGGTTTTCCACCTACCCCGGTGGCAGCCAGCCAGCGCGGGGCTGCAGCACAGCAGCAGGACGCAGAGGCTGGCCAGGGCCACGTCCACGTTGCCCCGTGTGGTCCTCGAGGCGCCGGGAGCCATGGCGAGGCAGCGGGCCCCCTGCCCGTGCCGCAGTGCCCCGTGCCGTGCCGCGCAGCCCCGGCTCTCGCCGCGTTTCCTTCCCCACGGCGCTGTCTCGTCCTCCGCCACACGCGGCAGGGGTTGGGGTGGAAATGAAACGTGCCCATCTCGGCCCCACAGGGAAACCCGGGCTGCCTCCCGCCCCCGGCTTCCTCCTCACCGAGGCAGGGAACAGCTGAGCTGTGGCCTGGCCCCTTCCCCTCCCCGTGCGCTCCCCCCGTGGGCCCCATAGCACGGCCCCAGCCCCAAGGATGGCCCACGGGGGGCAGGGAAGGGGTGTCCGGGTCTCCTGGGCACCCATGGGTGCTGGGTGCTGACACTGGGAGGGGATGGGGAGAGGAGGGAGGAGGAGAGGAGAAGGTGAAAATCAGAGGGGGGAAATGAGAAGATGACAAGATGGAGAAAAGGGAGCAAAGGGAGAAGGAGCAAAGGAAAAGAAGGAGAAAAGGGCGAAGGAAGACAAGGAGGAGGAGAAAGTGGAGAAGAAAAAGGAGAAAGAGGAGAAAGGAGGAGGAGGAGGAGGAGGGGGAGGAGGAGAAAGTGAGAACGAGGAGAAGGAGAAGGAGAAGGAGAAGGAGAAGGAGAAGGAGAAGGAGAAGGAGAAGGAGAAGGAGAAGGAGAAGGAGAAGGAGAAGGAGAAGGAGAAGGAGAAGGAGAAGGAGAAGGAGAAGGAGAAGGAGAAGGAGAAGGAGAAGGAGAAGGAGAAGGAGAAGGAGAAGGAGGACACTTTGCCTCCTTGGGCCTGTTTCTAGCGAAGCGAAGAATTTACAGGGGGCAGGTGCGCAAGGTTTGGGTACAGATATCGGGGTGATATTTTCTGCAGACTTCTTTAATTTCTCTGCCAGCGATGCTTCCCGCTCGCCCTGCTGACTAATATTCACGTCGCAAATAAGCAGCGGTGAAACCGCACTGTTTGCTGGCTCCTCCTGCTTCTACCGAGCCCAGCCGTGATGCGGTGGCAATTTTGGAAAGTGTCTGGGGAAAATTAATAACTGGGGCAAAGGATGCTATTCTTATGATGATTTAATAATTTTCCAGGCTCTCAGAAGCTAAGCGGCGGGGCTGAGGCTCACTCACATCTCGCTTTCAGACCCAACAGCAGCCTGGGAGGAGGCTGAGCCCCCAACTAGACCCTCCTGGATCCCCCCTCAGGCCTCCTCCTGGTGCTGTAGCTTCACACCTTGGCCCTCAGCTTTTACCATTGCATGGCCCAAGGAGAGAGCCCAGGGGCTGTCCCGTCCTTGTCACCTCCCAAGGCCACCACACAGCCTGGCATGGTGACAGGGGAGCGCTCTTCAGCATGTACAGCAGCGCTGGTGGATTTGAGATGGTTACTGCCTCATCCTGTGTTCCCGTTAAAAAAAAACAACAAACCAACCAACCAACAACAAAAACAAAAACACTAAAGAAACTAAAATGAACTCCGGGAAACAGCTCAGAGCAAGGCAGCTTTTCCCCCTTGGTGCTCTGTGTCCCCACACCACAGCATCACTGGGCCACCCCAGTTCCCTTTGGAGACCCTTCAGCCCCATCTCTGCAGGGCCCAGGGCTCTCACCGCCTGCCCTGCAGCCCCAAAAAAAACCTCGAGGCAGTCCTGACGACATGTTTGGGTGGAAGATGTGACGGGTATCGCTGCAGAGGCTGCAGCTCGCCGAGGGAAGGATCGGCAGGAAAAACTGGCTCACGCCCCTGCGCGGCTGGCACGGGGCTGATTAAAATCATAGCGCGGTTGCTCAAACTTTCCAACACACGCTCGAAACGAGGCGTCAGGGGGTTGCTGCTCAGCGGGGCGGGGAAGGCGGCTGTGTCCACTAAAAAACAACGAAGGGGAAATGCAGGGAGTAAGGCAACGTTTCGTGATGCTCAGGTTCCTTCTGGGTCTGGCAAAGGCTCTCCACAGCACGCCGTGAGCGAGGCGGTGGGTCCCAGCAGAGCAGGAAGGGCAGGGAAGTGCCCACTGCTTGGAAACAAAAATTCCTATGGGAAAACGCATTTCACAGTGCCAGGCACCCCTTAGTTTTGCTGTTTGCTTCCTGCTGCCTTAGACTCTTCTCCTCATCACCAGCTCAGTGGCTGCGTTTGAGTGCCAAAGCTCAGGGGCAGGATGCGGCCCCGCCGCTTGGTCACGAAGCGCAGGGGAGGCTGCAGAGCTGGGCACGCAGCAGAAACCACGAGCCTGGAGCTGTCCAACCGAGCACCAGCAGAAAGCACACAAAAGGGTGATTTTTTTTTTTTAAAAAAAAGGCCAAGATCTAACTCGCTACAACAAAGTGGCTGTAGGGGAAGCAAGATGTGCAGCTGTGCAGGGACCCTGCAGGTGCCCCGGGTGCTGGCATCGCGGGGGGAGCCTGGCCCCAGCAAGGGGCCCAGCTAAGATAAGCCAAGGACAGGGCAGACAGGTAGGTTGGATGCCAGGGGAGGAAAAGCAGTGCTCAGGCTGTACAAGATCCTTTGATGCTTTAAAAAATAAATTCTCCATCATCTCTGAGCTGGAACAGCACATGGTGCAGTCCTTCACTGGCATTCTTCACTCTGCCAAGGCCAGCACACCCCAAACGGCTCAAAGGGCCTAAGGTCAGTCCCGAAACAGCTTGAAATCACCTGGGGTATTTATTGAAGGAGCACTGAAAATGTGGAAGAGGAACAATAAAGCAATGTTCAGGCACCTGGTATGCAGCCTACTGAGGCCCCAACCTGGATGCCCACAACACCTTGGGAAAAAAAAGACTCCCAAAATGAGCAGGACCATGAAACCAACCATGAACAGATGCTGAGGAAGATCAGCCCACAGATTTATCACGTCCCCCCACACACAGAGCTCCTTAATTGAATTTGCATCTGTGGCTCTGATCCAGGCAGCAGGCGGCAATGGCTGGGCAGCAGCAGGAAATGGTTAATGGTGTTTGCAAATAAATGCAAAGCGAGCCCGCTGCCTTTCAGATACTTCTCGGAAATTCAGAAGGCCCGTGCAGATGATTTGCATGAGCTCCGCCTGACCCTGCGGGAAAAAGCGAGGCGGCTCCAACCCACACAGCCCAGCGGTGCCTCGGGCTGAGCAAGTGCTGGGTGCGAGGAGAGGGAGCGGCGGCACCGAGGGGCTCCCACAGCCAGCAGAAACCCGCAGGGCCCCGGTGTGGGGATGGGAAAAGCTCCTGAGCTGCTGACCAAGGTGCTCCCATGCCCAGGGCTCTGCTGGATCATCTCAGAGAGTGATGCTGCTGAAGCACTGAGCCCATGGGCATCAGCAGCTGCTGCACTTTGGTTCTCAGCAACCCGCTTGTGGGCAGGGGAGGTTCGGGGCAGGAGCTGGTGTGAGCCTGGCTGCGTCAGAGCTCACAGCCGCCGCAGGAAGGGGCTCCGGGAGAGCAGCCCGTGCCCGCGGGGTGGGCAGCCTGCGCCCGTTTGGCAGCCGGGGGTGGTTTCCTGCTCCCCCAGCCCCGTGCCGCGCTCCACCCCGCAGCCAGCTGCGCTTTGGGTGCCGTTTCTATTCTAGCCCAGGCGCCGGCTTCTCAACGGTGTCACCCGGCCGTACGTAGGAAACGCAACCGGGGAGATCGCCGCAGCGAGATAAGCGGCAGAGGAAGCAGGATGTCAGCGCCTCAGCACGGCACCCGCCGCGAGCCGTTACCAGCAGCGCGGGACGGGGAGCGGGCAGGGGGAGCAGCACAGCTCTGTGATAACGCTGCGGAATTACAAAATGATTTTTTTTATTATTTTTTTTTATTATTTTATTTTTAGGACCCCAGGGGGCAAACCCCACAGCGGGGCAGCGCAGGAGGGCTCACGGCACCCAGGGACCCAGCTGCACCGTGACAGCGGCTCCATCCCCGAGCACCTGAGGGTGGGCTGGGGGCTATGGGGGCACCCCGGGGGGGGGCTCAGCAGCACCCATGGGTGCGGGCAGGGACCCCGCGGCCCCCGCGCGCCACGTGCCGCGCTTGGCGCGAAAACGGGGCGTGGCGCCGTGACGTCAGCAACGCAGAAAGCGGCAACGCGGAAGTAGCAAGGCGGAAGTGCCCGCGGTTGCCATGGTAACCGAGGCCTGGGGGCGGCCATGGGCGAGTCGGGCCCAGGGGGCTCCGGGAATGCCTGCGGGCTGCGGCCCGGCCTGCGGTGAGGGAGGGCCGGGGCTGCCTCCTGGCCGTGTTTTTATTTTTAGTAGGTTTAGGAGCTAATTCCCTTCAAGCTAAGCTTTTTTCTCTACAGCTCTTCGTTTTGTCTTACTTTTTAATGGGAAAGCTGAGCTTGCCTGTGGTGTATGTGTGTTTCTGTACATAACATAAATATCCTGAGCCTTTTCGTGCTGTTTTTTTTTTTTTTCCCTGACAGGTTTAAGTCGTCCATGGTGAAGGAATGCATCCACGCGATACTGAAGGAGAAGCTGGCCGATGCTCAGTACGTCCCAGAAGAAGTGCCTCAGCTCACAAAGTCGTTATCAGAGATAATAAAAGATAGGCTGAAAGGTAAGGAGGCGTGTGGTATCCATCATTTATCAGCAGTCCTGGCTATCGGGGGAGGTCCCAGCTGACTGGCGACTAGCTAATGTGACGCCCATCTACAAGAAGGGCCGGAGGGCAGACCCAGGGAACTACAGGCCGGTCAGTTTGACCTCAGTACCAGGGAAGCTCATGGAGCAGATCCTCTTGGGAGTCATCATGCGGCACTTGAAGGGCAAGCAGGCGATCAGGCCCAGCCAGCATGGGTTTATGGAAGGCAGGTCCTGCTTGACGAACCTGATCTCCTTCTACGACAAAGTGACGCGCTGGGTGGATGAGGGAAAGGCTGTGGATGTGGTCTACCTTGACTTCAGCAAGGCTTTTGACACCGTCTCCCACAGCATTCTCCTCAAGAAACTGGCTGCTCTTGGCTTGGACTGGCGCACGCTTCGTTGGGTTAGAAACTGGCTGGATAGCCGGGCCCAAAGAGTTGTGGTGAATGGAGCCAAGTCCAGTTGGAGGCCAGTCACTAGTGGCATCCCCCAGGGCTCGGTGCTGGGGCCGGTCCTCTTTAACATCTTCATCAATGATCTGGATGACGGCATTGAGTGCACCCTCAGTAAGTTTGCAGATGACACCAAGCTAGGTGCGTGTGTCGATCTGCTTGAGGGTAGGAAGGCTCTGCAGGAGGATCTGGATAGGCTGCACCGATGGGCTGAGGTCAACTGTATGAAGTTCAACAAGGCCAAGTGCCGGGTCCTGCACCTGGGGCGCAATAACCCCAAGCAGAACTACAGGCTGGGAGAGGAATGGTTGGAGAGCTGCCAGGCAGAGAAGGACCTGGGAGTGATGGTGGACAGTCGGCTGAATATGAGCCAGCAGTGTGCTCAGGTGGCCAAGAAGGCCAACGGCATCCTGGCTTGTATCAGAAACACTGTGACCAGCAGGGCTAGGGAGGTGATCGTCCCCCTGTACTCGGCTCTGGTGAGGCCGCACCTCGAGTACTGTGTTCAGTTTTGGGCCCCTCGCTACAAGAAGGACATCGAGGTGCTTGAGCGGGTCCAGAGAAGGGTGACGAAGCTGGTGAGGGGCCTGGAGAGCAAGTCCTATGAGGAGCGGCTGAAGGAGCTGGGCTTGTTCAGCCTAGAGAAGAGGAGGCTCAGGGGTGACCTTATTGCTCTGTATAAGTACATTAAAGGAGGCTGTAGCGAGGTGGGGGTTGGCCTGTTCTCCCATGTGCCTGGTGACAGGACGAGGGGGAATGGGCTAAAGTTACGCCAGGGGAGTTTTAGGTTAGATGTTAGGAAGAATTTCTTTACTGAAAGGGTTGTGAGGCACTGGAACGGGCTGCCCAGGGAGGTGGTGGAGTCACCATCCCTGGAAGTCTTCAAAAGACATTTAGATGTAGAGCTTAGGGATATGGTTTAGTGGGGACTGTTAGTGTTAGGTCAGAGGTTGGACTCGATGATCTTGAGGTCTCTTCCAACCTAGAAATTCTGTGATTCTGTGATTCTGTGATTCTCTAACTTTAAAATGTGTCCTCTTCCTTTCATAAATCTCCTTTTTCTTCTTAAAGCCTGTTCTTTCACTGTCAAATGACTGAAGTCTGCTGTTGTTATCCACATAAATATGTGCCTCACCTGTGGAAACAAAAACCTAATTCAAGCAAGCAGCTTTGTTTTCATATGGACTGGTTGGTGTGGGATGTCAGCCTTGCAGGGCTGCAGGGGAAAGAAGCTTCATTAGAGAGAAGGAGGAACGATTGCCTCTTGCTTCAACAAACAAGTGTTCCTCCTTTTTTTTTGTTTTGTTTTGTTTTGTTTTTTTTGTGTCCCTGAGATGGGAACAAGGCCAGGTGGGAGCAGTGAATGGTGAGTTAGGAGCACTGTCGGTCAGGGAGGGATGTGAATACAGCACTGGAAGAGTGGTGGTGCTGCTGCACAAGATACCCTCCAACGTTTTTGAGTGCAAGATCCAGCAGGTGTTTCCTGTGCTCAGAGCTGGAAAAAGTAGGTAGGTGTGAGTTGGTGTGGTCGCTTCTTTTCCCTCTTTTCCTTGGGACAGGCTGGTGCTCCATCTGCTGGGCTGACGAGCAGTGGCTGTGCAGAAATGCCATCACCCGCAGCAGGAGCTGTGGGTTTATGCTTCCCCCAGAGTTACACATCTGCTTTAAAAGCAGCAGCAGCTGTCGTCCCAGCACGTGTTGATGCCAAGCTAATATGCACAGGGCTTGACTTCAGCAATCTGTAAGCACACTCGCAGTAGCCTGAAGCAAGACTGGCCCAGTGTGGCCGTTGTATTGGCTGACATCTCTGATAAGCATTGACACTGTTACCAGGCCCAGCATGTAACGTTCAATCTTTCAGCGGAAACAGGCACTAGAGTCTTCCTTTATGTTGCTCTATTGAAGATAAAGGCACTAGGATTGATATTTTATTTAAAACATGGTTGTTCTGGTTTGAATTCTGGAATCTTGTCATGGTCTGATTGGGTCTGGCCTCTGCCCCAAAGGTATCCCTTCACTGTTGTGAAACAATCATATTTTTGCAGACACAAACTTAGACCTGTCTAAGCTGCTTTTTTGTGACCTTTTGTCTTAGCTCAGAAGCAAAGGAAACAACTATGTGGCAGAAAAATCTCTAAAATACCTTTGTATCAGAACAGCTTTAAAATAAGCCAATTTTATTAAATTGGCTTTTGCCCTACCAGCAGCCTTATTTACATTCTCACCATGTGTTCAGTTCTTAAACACTGTAGAACTGGAATGCTTACATAGAAGAGGGCTGTTTGGAGATATCTTATGATTTAGATGCATCTTTTGATAGATACCAAATACCCTGCTCATCCTTTGAGTAAAATGAGGCTGTGGTAGTCCATAACTAGGAGAGTGAAGTGATGAAGCAATTTGTCTGCTCTGCCTATTGCATGTACTTTTAATTTGTACAGGACACTGCTTTGTAGCTAGAAATCTTGCTCTCGGTGTGTTCTGTTTTGGGCTCTTATCTTAAACAAATACAGAGTTTGAAGTTTCTCTCCCTTTCTTTTGTTTTTCTTTTCCCAGAGGAGGGATTTGACAGGTACAAAATGGTGGTGCAGGTTGTGATCGGAGAGCAGAGAGGAGAAGGAGTGAAGTAAGTTTTGCATTTTCTAACTGTATTTCTATGATTTTCGTTTCATCTTTTTTCCATTTTCCTTTGGGAGCTCCTTCCAGCTTTTCCAGATTCTAAGATATTTCTGCCTGTACTAAAATGTAAAGCACTTCCTTTTCTCATAAGCTGCAAGTGCAGGCTTGGACTGTGGCTGATTGAATTACTAGTCAGTTGACTGGTGATAATTGGCTGTGTGATGGGTATTAACAGGCTGAAATGCTGAAAAGCATTTGTGAGGTGTGTTGCAGAAAAGATTTTATATTGTACTCACGATGAACTGAAGCATACATCCAGTCTATTCTCAGGGCCCTGCTGGAGCACAAGAGCCATGGTAACTCATTTGTGCCTAAAGCCTGATTTCCATAAGTACTTCATTTGCATTTAATCCCCCCAAATAAGTATTTTTCAGTAGTTCAAATTCCTATAATCCTCCTGCAATACTGTTATGGGAATCTAGCCCAGGCTGGGGGTGCTGAGCACTTGGAAATCTAGCTCCCAATGCCTGCAGTCAGACAAAAGAATTCCTCTTTGCTGCTGTGGTGGGCTGCAGCTTTCTCTTACTGCTGGGTAAGGAGAAGACAAAAAGGAACAGCCCACAAGGTTTATGTGCCTTATGCACAGGGCTTCACGTTATTATTGTGCTTGGTATTCCAGCAGAAGATCAGTGAAGCAAACAGGAATCCTGTCAGTTGAGACTGAGTGGGGAAGGTAGCGAGCTGGGCATTTGCAGGAGAGAAAAGAGTGTCAGTGACATTAAACAAGGCAGCACTGAGGTCTCATCCAGAATATCCTCTGACAGTCTAGTTGCTTGTCTTCAAAGTAAAGCAGATGCAGAAAAAGTCTGCCAGAATTCTCAGGGAACAGGCAGTGTAGATATGAAAGGGCCATAAGAGTTCAGCTTGGTTCTAGTAATGTGAAGGCTGACAAGGAATACGATAGCTCCCTATAAATAAACGGGTAGTATGCATCAGGAGGGCACGGGAGGTGAAGGATGAGAACAAATCAGCTAAATTAGCCACTGATATGCATACATCAGAAGTCAGAAGGTTCTTAAGCACGAAAGCAAGGAAGCTGCAAGCCTGCTGCACAGCACAGCTGACAGAATTAATAGTTGAGGAGTTTCAAGATGCATCTTGATCAACATACAAAGAGGCTTATAGCGTGTGGCGGAATTCAGCAATGCTCGGGATTTGGGGGAACATATCCCGTTTCCTTTATCCTTAAAAAAAAAAAAGCTTAGCTTGCTTTTTCAGCAAAAGTGTGATCACTTAGATCCTTATACCTAACTTTGCAGGTAATGGCTGTGCTTTCTCCTTTGTCTAGTATGGCTGCACGGTGTTTCTGGGATGCTGACACTGACAGCTATGCTCATGATGTTTTTGTTAATGTAAGTATTGACTGTTTTACCGTAGGAAATGTAAAGCTACTACTTTTATGACAGGCAGACTAACTTTAAAATGTGAAGCAGGCAAAAGGAACTGCTGTTGCCTTTGGAAGGAACCAAAGCCAAATCAAAACTGTAATTTACAGTCTCGTTCACAAATTCATGAAATAGACATAATACCCAACACAGTAAAACTTGTTTATTGAGTAGATCATACAATATTGTACACAAGTCATTTAAGTTGCACCATTTTACAGGTAGGGAGAGGAAGCACAAGAGATGAAGTTGTTTTTCTTCTCTTTTTTTTTTACATGCTTTGCTGAGCTTCTATCCAGAAGTACCGCTGAAATTCAGGACTGAGCAAAACCCAATATTTTATTTTAAAACCTCCTTCTATACTGTCCTGACTCCACGGAGCATTTCCCAGGTTAAATTCTCTATGAAAGGCTTCAGGCTCTCTGCTGTCAAAGGCATCGGCCTACGGGGCTTTCAGGAAGGAGAATGTCCTTTTTGTGAGCTACAGATAACAGGCAGGAGCACTGATTGCTCTTTGATGGTGAGGACGTTCACCTGGATTTGGGTTTGGTCACTGCAGCAGAAATTTTCCATGCTTTACATTGTTTCTGGGTCGTCATCTTATCTTCACTGAGCTGCACTTGAGAAATCACTGGGACCCATTCCCACAGTGCCTGTGGATCCTGAAACAGTAGGGGTGCTCTAAGAACGCCCTGTGAGTGGAGCCCGGAGGTAAATTTGTCTATGGGCCCTGGAGAGGTGAAGGCGGGACAAGGGTCAAACTATTCAGTTCTGACATGACTGGGACACTTCTAAGTACACAGAGAAACGACACCCACACACCTTTGGGTGTGCAGCTGGAGAAAACTGAGGCACTTCTGGCATTCAGACTCACTGGCCTGGGTTACACCACACCTGAAGTAAATAAGTGACTAAAAAGACAAAAATTTGAAGGACTTTACACTATAAGGCTCTAACTATTTTTAGTGCTCTGGCTCAAGCCTTCCCTCAGGCTAGCTTTTTCAGTTATGCTAGCAAAGAGTTGCCTTTACTAATGCAGAGCCTTTCTGTTTTCCCCAGGACAGCCTCTTTTGTGTGGTAGCTGCATTTGGCTGCTTCTACTATTGAAGATGGTAAAGATTGCACAAAAAGACAAAGGTGGGGAGGAATACTTTAGAGTATTTTTGCTAACACACACAAAAGCACCATACTCTTTCTTTAATACCTAACACAATACAGCTCTACAAAGCACATCCTACACCTGTTACACTACAACATCCCTCCTCCCTTGTGGATATCACTATAGCTTTAAGCACATTATTATCATCTCCTTATTTAAATCATCCTTTTGTTTTTATGTAGTGTACTGGTTTTGTCCTAAACAGTATACTGCCAATAGCCATTGTTTCTAGGACAAACTGAACTGGGGTTGTAAAAGAGTTCTGTTATTTTTACTTTGTTAATTTCCTGAAGTGAGTGAAATATTTCTCAGAAATATAATATAATAAATCCATGTATTTACTGTTTCTCTCCTGTGTGTTTACCTTTACTGTTTCCACCACTGGTTCTTTTTCTCCACTCTGCGAAATGCACTGGCCTTGATTGCTCATCAGTGCTTCTCAGATAAGCATTTTCTGAGGATTCCGTGTAAGTTAATAAATAAAGCTGATCTCTAATTCTGACTATCCAGACTTGTTACTATGACTTGTGTAAGAATTACATTGTCAATCCCAGCTAAGTGTCACATGAAAATGATAACAATTGACAGGAAGACAAGGTATTTAGGATAATGGTTCAGCACAGTAGCCTGCACACCCCACTAAGCGCCCAAACACCCAGCTGTAACCCCTCATTGGTTTGGTGCAATTTGGCACCTGTGGAAACGTTGAATAACCATTGCTCAGTGCCCAGTTCAATAGATACTGCAGTGCTTTCTCAATCTTTGCCTTTCTGTAACTGTTTCGGGATACACAGTTGGATGTTTGGAGAGCAAAATTGATAAAACTCAAGCCTTTAAAGGAACACTAGAAAAGGCTGCTGTAAATCAGAAAAGGAGAGCCAAAATCTCTTATCTCTCCAAAAATTAGAGGACAAGGTTAGTTCCTGAAAGATGGGTGCTACTGAAATGCATCTTAAATGCCCATCAGAAGACAGGAGGAGTTACTCTATGCTGATGCCTGTTCTCTGTGCTAAGAAGCGTAGATGAACAATTTCAACTGCGTGAATGGCTTTTGTAGCACTGAAGTTTAGCATGGTGAATCCTGAATCCCACCCTCACCAACTGTTAGAGCAGAACACGCTGCCTGTGCAACTCTTAGTATGGAAGTCAAAAATTATGGTTCATCTTCTAGAATCACTCTTCTGTCTAAAATTGCGGAACCAGCGCATTCCTATTTCTGTAACAGGTTTGTTTGAAAGCAGCTTCATCTAATTTACCTCTGATGCGAAATAGATGGTGGCTTCCCTGATATCTTTGTATCTGTGACATGTTAAAATGAGCTGCCAAGATGTAACGGCACTGCTCAGTGTGTGAACCTGAGAGTCCACGAGCTTTGGAAAACAGTGGAATAAAATAAAATAAGAAAAATCACAGAGATGTTATATATACCTTCAGACTGGTTTAGACGTTTTTATTGAGTCACGGTGATCAAATCATGCTTTTTTGCCTTGCACGTGTTCTGGTTTGGGTGGTTTTTAACCCCCGCTCCACAAAGACTTGACACAAAACCCCCAGTTTGTGACCATCCTGCTTCTTGCCAGCCATCAGGGCGAGCACCGGGGATCCTGCGGGCAGTTCTGCGGCTCAGCACCCCCCTGGTAACTCCCCGGGGCTCTCAGGGAAGGCGGCGGGGCCCGGAACGCGGCTTCGGGCCGTGGTTTCCCGGAGCGCCGCCGGTCCCTTCCTGCGGCCCGGGCTGTGCGCGGCGGCTCCGCCCGCGCCCCGTTGGCGGCAGCGGGGCGGGACCGGCACCGGCACCGGGCGGCTCCGGGGCTCCGGCACCGGCTGAAGGTGTGTGGGGACACGGGGGGGGGGACACCGGAGTGGGGGGTGGCTGCGCGGTGGTTACCCGGGGATAACCGCAGGGTGGGTGAGATGGGTGGGCTGGGGGGTCCTGAGCGCACGGAGAGGGGTTGGGGTGGGCTCGGTGTGACCCCAGGGGGGCTCTGGGGGGCTTGGTGGTGATGGGCAGCCCTCCTGGGGGAGGCTGGCAGCCGGCTTCTGATAAGTGCTGCTGGCAGACCCTAAAATGCGATTTTCAGCCCAAAGGTTGGGCAGATCGGCTGCCCATCCCTGTATGCTGCAGCCCCTGGGAAAGCCCCAAATCTGCGATATTCTGCAGAAATCTGCTCCTGCAGACCGCAGCTGAGACCTTGGTGTGTGGCGGGATGCTCCGTGCGCCAGGTTACGGGGTGCCCAGTGGGCTGCGAATTCACCAAAAAGGTCCCGCCAGCAAATCCTTTATTTTTTTATACTACAGGGGTTTGGGGGGCACTCAGCATCCTTCCCCTGACCCCAGAGCTCTGGGTGTGTGCCAGACCCCGCCAAACCTTGGGCTTGGGGGCTTGGCACCGAGTGCAGGGACAGCCACAATCCGGGCCATTTCCACCCAATTTCTGTGCCGGTGCCCTCGGTCTGGGGGCATCAAGCAAGGCTGGGCTGTGAACGAGGCTGGCGTGGAGATTGGGCAAGGTTTTTAAACGCTAAGAGGGATCCTGATCTCTCCCAGTAATTAGGTACAGGTTAACCCCCACCTTGTAAGCAGCCTTTCCTCAGTGACGAGCCTTGTCATTAACTTCTCCTGAGCCTTCCTGTCTACAGCGGGTCCCTGCAGAGGGGCATACCGGTGAGATTAATCATAAATCGGGGATGGAGAGCACAATACAGAGGCTGAGGCATGCAGGGCAGGTCGGGTGCTTCACAGCCCGGCAGGGGAATTATCGGCGGCGACAGGACCTCTGCCTCTTCCCTGAGGCCCTCGCTCCGTGCCGTCCATGTGTCAGGGCAATTCTTCCCCGCGGACGGCTGCCAGAGTGCAAAGTTTGGTAGTATTTGCCTGCGGATGAGTCAGCAGAAGAGAAATAGCTTGCTTCTGTGCAGTGGGATCGCCTTGTAGGCAGAGCAGCACATGACAGTCACATCTGACCGTGCTCACAACGCCTTCCGAGTCCAGCGGGCGAGGAGGCTGCGGGGCTGGGGGCTCGGTGTGTGCCGGCCTCCTGCTGACCTTCATCTCTGCTGGTAAATGCAACAGCTCGGGGCTGGAGCGCTTACGGGGTCGTGGCAGCCACCTCTTGTTTCGTGCGTGTTCCGAGTTTAAGCAGCAGGTTTTGTTTGGCCTCGGTGTGGGAATCTGCAAGGAGGACGCAGCAGGAGAAATCCTGCTGCTGCACGGAGGTTTGCAAATCATAACGCTCTCCGAGACATCCCTCGAGTCTCGAAACGCCAAGAATGCAGATGAGCCAGGTCCATCAATGGGCTCGGGATGCAGGAATATCTGCTCTGCTGCTGTGGTGTCAGAGTCCTGCGACACCACAGATGCTGACACTCAGGGCTAAACTAAACCTCGGTGCTGCCCAGGAAGGAGCAGCCCCCGGGGTAAGGATTCGGTAAGCAACAGGATTTGCTGCACCAATTCTGGGACCTTGTCGGTATGCCACAGGTGCTGTGGTGAAATTCCGGCTCAGATGATGATTAGTTAACTCGCACTAAGGGGGAAAAAAATTAATTTTCCTTGTGCCTGTCCTTTCTCCCCTCTGAGACGTGGCTGTGTTCCTGTAGGAAACGCCCTGAGCTTTGTAGGCGGCTGCTCCTTGCAGAACGCAGCAGGCAGGTGATGGAAGGCGCTTCCTTGATACGGGGTGCAAGCCAAAGAGATGAGTTACGGAAGCAAAGCCCCAAATGTTCTGGGAAGTGGCACAGAGGCTGGGATCTGCCCCATGGGCCTGCCCTGATAGGGCACTCCTCAGCTTTGCTCCGAGAGAACATTTTCTCGTGTCAGGCACAGGCTCGGTCCTGCAGGAGGCTGATGCGTTAGGCAAAGTGGAACAGTGATAATGTTTTACAACAGGGCCGTTCCTTCTGGTTATGCCATTTCTTTGTCTTGGAGGTTTTCAGAATAAGCCTTCAGAGCTATCTTTCCTTCCCTGCTCCCCATCTGCTGCAAGTGTAATTAATTTTAGAACAGGCAGTGTTTTACTCGTTTGGGGAAGCAAAGATGTGTGCTCATGTGTTCAGCTCAGCTACAGATGCTGCATCCCATTGTTAGGAAGCAATTGTTTAGGGTGCTATTTTAGTCCTTTGGGTCAAAAAAAAAATAATAATGTTCTAAGAGCAGTAGCTTTATCGCAGCGAGGTATGGCTTGTTTTCCAAAACAACTTGTTCCCAGTTATTTTCATTAATAACTTTGGTGCTGGGAGGAGCTCCCGGAAACGCGCTAGCCACGGGGTGAAGGTTTTAGAGCCCCGAAGAGGTAAAATTACTGCTTAAGTTCTGCATTAATTTGAGTAATTAACAGAGCTGCGTCACTCCTGAGGTGCCCAGCCGAGCTCTCTGCAGAGGCTCCTTCAGCACAGACTAGCCTGAAACACCAGGGCAGGGAGAGCGCTTGTGTGCCATCCACCAGCCGGGTAGTCAGGAGAACCTACAGCTGTTTTCCCCCACTCTTTCCATAAACATTAAGGTTGCTCCCACCAGAGGCAGAATTGTGCTGCTAACAATTCTCTTTTCCTGGTCATAGTGCCTCGCGTTGGGTCTAACAGAGCAGCCTGGGGTGCGTGTCTGCAGGTAACGCCGCACCGGCTGCACTTGGCCCTACTCCTGCTTGTAAGGTTGGTGCTTGGTGGGAAGTTATTACACTGCATTTGCCTCTTTACCTGAGGACATTCTTTAACTTGGAGTCAGATAAACCCAATCCCTAAATCTGCTTCTTCACAGCTCCCTTTCGCAGAGCCCAGGCTTGCTGGTGGCCGAGGAGCAGGGCTTTACCCCGCGCAGAGGGGCACTGCCCTGTCCCTTTCCCTCGCACTGCCCCGCCTAACGTGTTCCAGCTCATCCTCTGCAAAGGGTGGGGAGCAGCTTTACATTCCACCTGGCTCTTATTAGAAGGGTGTAGAGGCATGCACATAATCATCATTCCTGGGTGGAGGGAGGGCTCGCGCTGCTCGCGGCTCCAAAACGCTGCGCTGGGAGCTGCGCGGTTCAGGTGAGCAGGAGGGACAAGCCTTGGCTGCTGCTCTTTCCTAAAAGCCTCTGCAAATGCAGCACCTCTCTCTTTCTCAGCAGCTGAAAGAGGAGTGTTGGCTGCCACGCGTTTTATAAATCCCTAGCTTTGCTTCAGCTGCTTGGAGTACTTCCTAACGCTGCGGGGCCCTTCGGGAAGACAGCAGCGAACGGTATCACACGCCAGGGTAGCTCACGACCAGAGAGCTGTCACGATTTGCGTCCCGAGCTGCTCATCCCTCTGCCCGTTCAGAATCACAGCCTGGTACATGAAGTGCCAGAAGTGCGTGCCCGAACGTGGTGGCGGCAGCTGCCTCGCCGCCAGCTGAGTCACGGCTGCAGTGGGGACAGGGGACGAGCGGGGAGGACGGTGGCAGCCCTCCCAAGGTGAGCTGTCCCCGCTGAGCCCCGGCTTGGGCTTACGCAAACAGCAAAGCAAACAGCGAGCCGTCTCCTTAGTGAAGTTATCACCGTGGGTTGCACCCCTTTGCTCCTTCCCCTCCCCTTGTCCTTCTGCTTAAACCAGCTTCATCCTCACCTCGGCATTGCGCAGGGCCCCGGGGTCTCAAAGGGGGGCTGCAGCACTGGGGGTTTGCGTTCAGTGTCACCCAAATGAGAGCTGGGGGAGGGCTGGATGTGGACTGGGCATGCCTCAATCCTTAGCTCGCCTTTCAGATGCTAAACCAGCAGAATCAGCCTTGTTCTGATGATTTATAACTTGCACTGCAACTCCTGGGTGAGTTTCTCTCCAGCCAGCTGACTGCTGCACGCTCCTCTCTCTGCAGCAGAGCCCCGGGTTGCACTCCGTGATTCCGTATTCCCACCAGGCACTGTTTGTCAAGCCTTGGCAGCTGATGCCAAATACGACTGGCTAAGCCCCTTGTTAGGTGGCTGTGTCTTTGCACTGACCTTCTGTGCGCTGTGCCTGCTGTTGACTGATTTATTTTTTTTTCTTTGCTTTGGAAGAGCTGAGAAACCTCTCTCCCTCCCGTCCCTTTTTTTTTATTATTTATTTATTTTTTTCTTCTCCTTCAGTTTGTCCCAGTTCCTACTGGACGCGCTTGGCGAGATGGAGCCGCCGACCTCCTCCCGGCTGAATCCCCGCAAGAGAAGAAAAGATGGATCCGGCCCCAACGGGGCAACGGAGCTGGATGGAGTCCCTCCAAAAATGTCCCGGCGCTCAGTCGTAAGTAAGCAGAGATAGGGGCTGTAGGTGCCTGGAGATGAGGCATTGAAGTCTTAGCAGCAGGAAGATAAATGTTATGGGGTTTCTGTGGAGACGGAAAACAAGGGGGAGGAAAGACAAATGACAGTAGCTATCCTTCTTGTAGAGCCAGTCTGAAATCTTCCTTTGCCCATACTAATAACATGCTTACAACATGGGCTTAAATTAGATCGGAGGCGAGCGTTGCTAAGCTGCTTTTGTGGTCTGTCCAGCCTCTTTGTATCATTTAATCTGCACCCAAAGAGGCATGCGTGTAGGTACCCACGTGCTACAAAAGGCAGCTTGCTCTTCACACAGGTGGCTTTTCTCAGTGACCCAGCAGGAGGGAGAAATGCACCAAACAAGTACAAAATCTGTCCATCTGTCTCAGCTAACATCACTGTGAAGAGCTGATTTTACCTTGTCCTTGCCGCGATGCTGTGGTGATGGGCTTTCTACAGCTCCTCTCTGCTCCTTTTCCTCGAGCTCTCCTGTGCACCACGTGTTTGCTGGTTGCTCCTTCCTTATCTCTGAGGAACAACTACCGTCCCTGCCACATCACGCTGGGGTCATAGTCCTTGGTAAAATTTAGTGATGTGTCACGGCTTTGCTCTTGGATAACGTTTTGCTCTATATGAACAACATGAAACAGGTGATACCCAGCCTGTTGTATTGTGCACATCTGGTTGTGTCCCAACCTTTGTAGGTGCTTCAGAGGAAGGGTGAGATGGGCAGGAGCTTTTGAGAGCATTTCTCCGTGATTATCTGATAATTTCAATAATTTTTTATGCTGTTGTTCCTAGCTTTGCGTCACATACATGGCAACCAAGCTGCAAAGAGTCTGGTTTTATTCACAAGTCCCAAATATAATGGCTGTGAGGAAAGGAAAGAGAGACAGACCTTACCTAACAATAAGGATCCACTAGAGGAGGTGATGTGTGAAACATGGGTACCAGAGCCTCAGAAAATGCTCCTGTTAAAGGAGCACCAGTTTGCTTCAGTGTAGTGGTCAGTGGGTTGCTTTTCCTCTGCACCTCACTTGGAGCACTGTAATCAGGGATGACATTAGCAGTACTGGCAGTGGTCCTTCTGTTTGCAGCACTGCTGGGTACTGTGGCAGGACGCTGCAATGGGACAGGAAGCCAGAGAGGAAACTGCTGATTAGCTTTCTGCAGCTTGAAGGTATTATTGTAACGATCTGCAGGCTCGTTTCTAGCCTTCTGGCTCAGGAAAGAGAAGGCATTGCTGCCTCACACCTTCCTGCGAGAAGGAAGCTGAGCTGTTTGTTCCATTATGGCAAGGTCAGATGTTTTGTTCCCGCTCAGAGGAGGCCTGAAAGGATACGGGAACTTCAGCTGCTGATGAAATGTAACTGCCGTGATCAGGTTAGTAGATTAGAGAGGTTTTCCTGCAGCACTAGGATGTGTTCTGCCGCAGATTGAGGTCAGTCTCCTGTTGCACGTCTCAGAAAAGGGAGGTGATGCACATGTTCCTTGGGGATTTGTGCTGCTGCTGGTATTGCTCTTTTGCTCATCTGTGTATTCAAACCGAGGAGCTGTCAGAATTTGCACATCACGACACAGGCACACAAGTGCAGCAAAGCGATTGTCTTGCCTGGGTGGGCAAAGTCACAGCCATGACAATGAGGTTTGCTGAAGCTCCCCCTGCCAAATTCGGGCTAATCGCCCTGCGGGGCTGTTTTGAGGTTTAACACTAATTAGTCTTTCAGCACACGTGCCTGAATCATGCAGACACAGCAAGTCACTCCACGACAAGAGCACTGCAGGTGCCTCGCTGCTGCTACACAGCGTGCTGGCCTTTGCGTCCTCACAGCTGACCACCTCTGGCTTTTTAGGGACTGAGGGAACCAGCTCCGTTTTCAGATGAAGTGGAGATCGACTACAGCAAGCCATACATCAGAGTGACCTATGAAGAAGCCATGAGAGGGACCCCTTGTAAGTAAGAACCAGGCCGGACGGGGTTTGTATAAGCGCTGGGTTTAGGGAAGAGGTTTGATTCTTGATATCTGACTCTGATCCAACCTTCTGTGTAAAACCAGGTGTGCAGCCCGTGACTTTATTCGTGCTTTAGTGGTTAGATAGCTCTCCCTGTGGGAAATTAGGTCTGCCAGCCCAACTGAAATGGGAGGCTCTGTGTGTGAGGTGTTGTACCTTTGTCAGTAAGACTCTCTGAAGTAAATAAATATTCATATTTTAGCTCTTCCTGTGCCACTGACAGCTAGAGTACTATCAGAGCTGAACATTTTTCTGTTGTACTTCCTCTGAAGCAGCTTAAAGTCAGGCACTTTAAAAGTCAGCTCTTTCGGAATTTGAAATGCCAAGTAAAACCAACATACGTCTTTGTCCAGAGTATCCCGTTCTAGCCTGGATTTGAATTAAAGTCAGTGTCATTAATCAAAGTAGGCTATCCCCACAGCAGGAACATGCCCTTTTATTTTATAAAACAAAGGGAGAAACTGTGCTCTTTGCAAGTCCAACGGGGAGGCAGGGGCAGGACTGGCTCCTCCTGAAGGCTGTGTGCAGACCCTGCTGTCTTGCGTGGCCTCTCCATTCTGGAGACCCTGAGACAATAAAAATGCTGCACTTCTGATTACCTGACTGCTGCTGATGTTGAGAGAAAAGCCAGCTTAGAATGAGATCTGGCAGTGATTTCCTGCAGGAGTTTCTGGAAATTCAGTGCTTTTCACAGCCCGCGTTATTCTCCCAGCTGAAAGTCTCCAGAACCTGCACAAAGGTCTCTGATTTCAACATCGGTGGCTCTCCTGCCTGCTAAGACTAAAATACCCTGCGTGCTTCCTTGTTGTTGTTTATGCCTGTGCTCAGCAACTGTGGCTGCTGCAGGTACAGAGGGAAAGATAGAGATGTCCCAGCCAATTCCCAGAACATAATTGCGCTGTGACAAAGGCGTGCCAGGCCCAGCCCTCTTCTGGCATACAGAAAGCTCTCACAGACCCTGATGGGTCTTCTCTCTGCCCCTTCCTCGCTGCAGCTTTGGGGTGCCTCTGAGCCTGTCTGTGTGGCTTTCTGTCACCAGCAACAAGACAGCCCGAGCCCCGTGTGGTCCCAGAGGACCAGAAGTCGGGGAGTCTCCTGCTGCTACGTGGCAGGACTCCTCTATCTCAGCTTATCTTTGTGCTGAGCTCAGGGAAGAGCTACGATTTACCCCGGCAGAAATGGGCTGATGGCCTTTGTTCTTCCTTATTAATCTGTGATTTCAGTGCATGCCAGCAGTTCAGCAGGATTGTGTTTGCATTTCTCTGACTAGCCCAACTGGGTTTCCAGATACAGACACACACTTCGTTAGGTGGTAGGGAACCAGTGATGCTGGTGGGGAATCAGAACAGTCTGGTCCCTCAGCCAGATGTGATAGCTGTGGCAGCGGGCTGCAGAGAGGAGGATTTTGAGAAGGTCTTGGATGCCATCCTGGACGGCAGGGCAAATTGGGCACCTGTGAAATGTTTTGGCCAATTCCCCTCTGGTATCTCCTTGCTTTGCAAAAATGAATGCTACATTTAGATTTCTGTAGGAGGGAGATATTCAGAGTTTGCTTTCCCCATAGTGTCCCTTCATGGTAGACATGTGGTAGGTTTTGAGTCTGTTTTTGAATATGGTTCAATTTCAGCTCTGTTCTCTGCTGTGTTTGTTTCCGTGTGCGAAGGAAAAGAGCCAGGCATTTCTTTTCACAAACGTTTCCTGGCTATGGCTCTGTATTCTGCCAGTTTCCTGCAACTTCCCCCTGAGTTTCAGAAGGTCCCCATATGCATGCATGAGCAGCAGCTACTTCTCCAGGAAGGCATCTTCACAAATGTCTGTCTGTCTGTCTCTCTGGCACAGTGGATCGCCCTGTCAGAGTTTACGCCGATGGAATATTTGACTTGTTTCACTCTGGACACGCCCGGGCCTTGATGCAAGCAAAAAACCTCTTCCCAAACACATACCTCATTGTGGGAGGTAAGGAGTGACCTTGTTGACTTTGGCTGTCAGGAGAACATGGTTAACCTCTGCTGTTGTGCATACAGATTGGCATAACAGGGTTCTTGTCTTTATGGCCTTAGTGCCATAAAGACATCTGCAGAAAGAAATCCTGTACCAAAAGAACACAAGGAAAAGATTCCTCGTCAGCCTGTTCAAACTTGGCCCCTCTGTTTCTGACAGATACCACTGAGGATGAAAATATACTGGCGGCAGCTGAGCATCTGCCTCTCAGTTAACAGTCCCCCCACGGCTGGTTGAGCTTTGTGTCACTTGCATTGCCCTGCAAGGCACCCTCCTGCTCCAGCTCTCTGCTGGGAACTGCTTCTGGCTAACCCCAAGCCAGGAGCACGGAGGTAACAGTGGTTCCTTGGGCACACGAGTGGCCACGTGGAAGTCAGTAAGGCCCCCATTTCTCCAATAAAAAGTTCACGTTTTGTTCATGAGTTTCAAAGTCCTTGAGATGAAACCAGGAATACCCTGCTCACTGCCTGAGCGGATCCAGCAGAGGTGTTTCAGCCAGGTCTCCTTCAAAAATATAACAGGAAAGAAGAAACCCTTTCCTCTGGCTGCTGCAACACGCTGGCCTCTGTCCACGCAGTGCCTCTGTGCCTGTACCTTCACCCACGTTTCTGATCTGTGACACTGGAGACACGTCAGGCTGTGGATGCTGTCTATCAGGAGCTGACCTCTAGTCAGGCTGCGTAATAATGCTGAGGTGTCAGGAGCTGGGAATACCCCTCACTAGTTTTCTCAGCTGTCATTAACTTGCTGCAGCAAAGTGAAACTGATTCCGTGACAAACCATTAATAATGTCTTTGCGTTTTGTTTCACTGCTGAGAGCAGTTTCACAGTGGTACTTCTGTATTTTTTGTGTCTGGAAGGGGAGAGAGGAAGCTGATAGAGTTAATCAGACTTTCAAAACGCTCTAAACTCGGAAAGTTTCTGCAGGCAGAAAGACAAGCCATGTACAGAAATGTACATCAGGCAGGAAAATACCTTCAGGTAACGCTATTAACGTGCTGGTGTAGCAAGATGTGTAATCTTGGTCTCTGCATCTGGGAGACTGGTGAGCTGTAGAGGGCAGTGAGCTGCTCCCCTTGCACCAGGAACTGAGGGAGGTGAGGCCACAGCCCAAGTGAACGTTAACTCCACGCTGGGAGCAATCTCACCCACTCTTTATCATCCGTTTGTTTGGAACATAAATACATCCAATACCCTGAGATTGGTAATCCCTTGTTTACTTTGGGGTCTGATAACCAAGTGAAACTGCTTCCTCCTCAGTGTATTATGTGCAGATGGTGAAGAGTGGTTCATTTACTTTTTCATAGAGCATAATTAAATGAACTTAATTTGCTGTGAACTCACTCTTCATTTTAGTTTTCCGAGAGGTAGACTATGGTATGTTATTTATGAAATTAGAAGTTTGGGAGGTGGGTTTTTTGGTGTTTTTTGTTTGGTTTTGTTTTTCATATGGGCTCCAGTTTCCAGAGTTAAGACATCCAGAAGGTCATAAGCAGGTTTCTGCCAGGTGCCATTTCATACAGGAGAGTTGTCTTCTGCATTGGCTGATTTTCTTGGAGAGCACTGTAACCTTTAGGGACCTTGAGGGCTTAGGGTGTGGGTCCCCACCTTGTGCAGAAATCCCCCAAGCAAATGGACAATTCCCCTTGCTCAGCCTGCCTAGAATGGCTCGAGAGTTTAGCGCCCTGTCACCACTCCCTGGTTCTAGTGCTTTTTGGCTCGAAGAGTTAGGTTTGGAGTCAGCACCTGGAACTGTCTGGCTTGGCAGGGGTGTACGCAGGGACCTTTTGCTGTAAGTATTAGGGTAAGTACATCATCTCGCTCTTCTCTCCTCCTGTTTCTTCAGTCTGCAGTGATGAGCTGACCCATAACTTCAAGGGCTTCACGGTGATGAATGAAAACGAGCGGTACGATGCTGTGCAGCACTGTCGCTATGTGGACGAAGTGGTGAGAAATGCACCATGGACGCTCACCCCTGAATTCCTGGCAGAGCACAGGGTAATACGTGGCATCTGATCTGCTTTGAATTTTGATTAGCTGCTGTCTGTGCTTGCTATTTACAGCAAGAATTCATCCGTGGGGGTGACCTCTGCCTGGTCAACCCCTTTCTGTTGAAGATCCTTAAATATAGAATGAGCTGGGTTATGGGAACCAGGTGGGGCTTCTTGGAAGATTAGAAGTGTGTGCTGAGCTGGCAGATAGCGACAAGGTAAAGGAGCCCGAGAGGGCAAAAGGGTTTTCTGTGTTCCAGGAGAAGCTGATGCTGGTTACAGATTGGTGTGAAACATGAAAAAGGGAGAGCATAACATTGGGTGGAAGGGATTTCTGGAGGTCGTGTGGTCCAGCCTCCTGCTTTCAGCAGGGCCAGATTAAATCTACATCAGCTTCCCCGCAGCAGGAGACCAGGCGAGCTGTATTGTGAGTCTTTTATCAGTAGGTAAGATGAACAAAAAGAGCTTCTGACATCTGTTGAACTGCTTTGGGAAGTGAAACAGCATCTGGGGAGTGTGCTTAGTTTTCCCCTGTGGCCATTAACAAGCTGTTTCTCTCCGGGGCTTAAAGCAGCTGTGTCCTTAGTCCCAGCCCTTCCTTTTTGTTGTGTGCTAACAAGTTTGATCTGCAATTGCCAGTGAGAATTTGTGACTGCTCTTTGTTGGTTTAAGGGGAAACTCGTGCAGTTCTCAGCCATGCCTCTGAGTGGAGGTGTTGAGCAAAAAGTTACCCTCAGTGACAGATGCTCGGGATAAAATGTTGATTCTCATATTATTCTTAATTTTCAGATCGACTTTGTTGCACATGACGACATCCCCTACTCTTCTGCTGGCAGCGATGATGTATATAAGCACATAAAAGAAGCAGGTGAGTCTGAGTCAGATTTCTGGTGTAGTTTTTCCTGTGCTCCTGTATTATCAGGGTTGTGCCTGCAGAATGGCCCAGAGGGCAGGAAGAAGTACAGCTTTGGGCACTAGTTCTAAGGCCAAGACCATGTTCCATGTGCCACGTCAAGGATTGCCTTGCATGATTTTTTTATGTACAACCTTGTTACTGTGATTGAATTCACAGCCACCTTTTGGAAAAATATAATGGCTTATTTTATAGATTCTCATGAATTGAGAATCTTACAGACTTCAGCAGATGTGGATCCTCTAGCTGATTGCTGTAAAACTCACTGTGGGGTGCAGTTTATTTTAAGCTATCAAAACCCAGCCATCAGGGCTTATGTTCTCTACCCTGTAAAATTATGGGACCCCTTTTACTGTCTTTGCCACCAGGCTATTCTCAGTGCAGTGGGTTGTAGTCAGTAGTTCAAAACCAGGTAAAGCGAAGAGTTGGAGCTTTTCATTAGAAGATATTTGTATTTGAGTAAGAAATCAGTTTCTGACATGCTTGGGTCTTTCTTAGTTCCTCCCCGTGCTCCCAGAAAGGAGGAGCCCGGCATTGTGCATTCCAGGGCAGAGACACGACGGTGTGAGGCCAGTTAGGAGTGTCCACAGGAGAAGTTATTTCCTGTTAGAGGTGGCAGCAGCTTTTTACCACGTGTCTTGCTACAGCTGTCCCGAATCCTGTTCCCCAACTTTAGGCATGTTTGCGCCGACTCAGAGGACTGAGGGGATCTCAACGTCAGATATCATCACCCGCATCGTGCGGGACTACGACGTTTATGCCAGACGGAACCTGCAACGGGGCTACACGGCTAAAGAGCTCAACGTCAGTTTCATAAATGTGAGTCGAAGTGTGTCTGGCCACAACTTCTTGCTCAGAGAAGCTGTGAGTGCCTCATTCGTGGAAGTGTTCAAGGCCAGGTTGGACAGGGCTTTGAGCAACCTGGTCTAGTGGGAGGTGTCCCTGCCCTTCAGGGGGTTAGAACTGGGGGATCTGTAAGGTCTCCTCCACCCCATACCATTCTGTGGCTCTGTAAGCTGTGTGAAGCTGTGCCTTGCATAGCACTAGCACACTCCTGCTGCATGCCAGTGAGCAGCAAGTCTGCAGAGCTAAACAGTGACACCAAACTGGTGTCCTTGTAGCAGAAATTAGATTTCTTTCTCTGCTGAAACTCTCACTGTGAAGAGTGGGCCTGTCCAGAGGAGCTGGGGTTTTGCCAATACTGCTCTGTTGTCAGAAATTACTTGGTGACATTTCAGCAGTTGAGAGAGCTGGAGGCCGGGGCATGTGGCAAAATGTGTGTTTTGTCGAGTCGAGTGAAGTGTTGGTTGTTCCTGGCAGCAGCTGCAGCGCCTCACATCTCTCCTCTTCCCTCAGCCACTTCCCTAAGGAAGAGGCATTTGTTAGGATAAAATCTGATCCTGTTCTCACTGTGCTATTCCCTCTCTGGAGCTGCAGGAGTTAGAGGAGAAGGACGTGCTCTGATCCTGCACTGTCTCTTAGCACACAAGCAGAATACGTGGCAGGAGGCTTTTCTTATGTAGTAAACGTTTTTCTTATCACTCAGACACTGTGCCTTTTTAATACAATCAAATACTAAATGAAACGGGAGAGGTAACGGCTGCTTGGCCTCTCTTTGTCACCCAACTGTCCCTGTTTACGAACACCCAGCAAAAACTCTTGTGCTGCCTCGATATGCAAGGAGACCTACAGCAGGTCACTCAAATCTAATCTGTATATTTTATAAATATTCCCCTCTTCCATGCACTGCTCTTAGATAGTCCTTATCTCTGGGTTTAGTCTTGCTTTGTGGACTGTGCCAGGGGCCTGCCACAAAGCATCTCGCAGCCCCGCTGCGTGTCTGCCACTTAGTCTAGGGAAGAAGCATCGCTGAAGTGAGGGCGAGGTGCCACGAAAGCTGGTGGAGATGCTGAGCCTCAAGCAGCAGTTCAGTGTAATAACACAGAGCAGGGGTGGTCACCTCTTAGGTCTGGTGAGCTGTGTTCTCATCCGTCGCTTACTCAACAGGAAAAGAAATACCACCTCCAGGAGCGCGTGGATAAGGTGAAAAAAAGGGTGAAGGACGTGGAGGAGAAGTCAAAGGAATTTGTCCAGAAAGTGGAGGAGAAGAGTATTGATCTCATTCAGAAGTGGGAAGAGAAGTCCCGGGAGTTCATTGGCAATTTCCTGGAGATGTTTGGCCCAGAAGGCGCCTTGGTAAGGAGCTGCCTGGGGAGAAGGGGAAAGGGGATTTGGGAGAGCTTGGCAGCTGGCACAGGGATGGTGCAGCCCATATCCAACTCGCTGGATAAAGCTAGTTCTGGCCGTAGCACAAAAGGTCCCCGCTCCCCAGAAGCTGGTCTGTGAACTCCAGCTTGTGTCCTGCAGGCCACAGAGCAAAGAGACTGGCAGTCACTTTGTCACTGGCATGGGATGGGATGGGTCTGAAATGCCTTTTTTTTGCCTGGCTGTGCCATGGTGCTGGCCAAATGTCACAGGCACCTCATGCTAGAGGTGCTTGAAAATGGGTCATGGTGAAAGCAGAGGCGGTGTCCGAGGGCACTATAGTGCTGTGTAGGGTTTCTGCTCCTATATCGTGTGAGGAATTGAGGCACAACAGCTCGAAACGCTGCACGGGCTGTGAGCAGTGCCCATTTCCACCACTCTCGCTAACGTCCCTCCTGCTTCCACCCCAGAAACACATGCTGAAGGAGGGCAAGGGCCGGATGCTGCAGGCCATCAGCCCCAAGCAGAGCCCCAGCAGCAGCCCCACGCACGACCGCTCCCCGTCGCCCTCCTTCCGCTGGCCCTTTTCCACCAAGACTCCTCCTGCCTCGCCGGGAAACCGCTCCAGGAACGAGTCTGCAGTCACCTACGACATCAGCGAGGATGAAGAGGATTAAGCTGCCAGCCGGGATTTGCCACGACCTCGCTGATCGCCGAAATCCTAGGTCCAGACCCACTGGGGAACTCTACCTGAGCAGGAGAGCCGTAGGAACAGGGCTGACGGGGGGCACAGGGCCTGGGAGGCACCCGCTGCTCTTGGCGAGGGCTGCTGCCTGGAAGCACGTTCAAACCTCCTCTCCCTTCTCCCCAAATCCCCCTTTTATTGTTTACGTCCTAGCGGTCCCCAGGGGAAAGGTGGTTTTTATATCTGAAGAAACTGCTCTTTTAAAACACAAAGGATAGCACTCGAGTGTGGCTCTTGTTCTGGTTTCTTTGCCCCTGTTAAGGCTCTCCAGGCGAGGCAGGGAGTGGTAAGACCCACCTGCCCCCTTCCTCCTTTCAGCTCCCCTCTCTTATCCCTCCCAGCCCCAGGCAGTATCCGTGCCGCTGCCAAATGAAAGGCACCAGGGCGACCTCGACAGCACGCAGGGAGCAGTTTTTTTAGAGAAGCTGCTAGGACACAGGGACATCTCTGCTGCCCTGGAAGGAGTGGCGGCACCGTAGGCGCACAGCCTGCAGGTGTGCAGCATTTGCAGCTCCAAATCTGCACAACTTGGCTGCGGGGGAGAGGCCTTTCCCAGCTGATCTTAACGGGGCTGCTAAATCTCCAGCTAAAATTGAGCCCTCCGGTTGCTGATGGAGAGAAGAGAAGGAATCCTTGCTTCAGGGCACTTTCTGTCCGTGCGTTTCCTCCTTGGGTGTGTGAGCGCCCAGGGGGTGAAATAACGTGTGTGTGTGCTCCTTTGAGAAGTTCCTCGTCCTGGTCTCTGGTGTGTCCTCAGTGTGTGTCCGTCCCCGTGGCCCCTCAGCACTGTGCTCTGTGCCTCTGTGTGCCCGTTGCTGTGCTCCAAGGACTGGCGCGGTCCTTTACACTGGTCAAGATGCTGCTATCAGGACAAAACAAGAATTCGTGCAGCCCGTTTGCTGCCTGGTGTTAAGTGCAGCTGGGCAGATGGGGGGCACATTTTACCACCCCATGACGGGTGACAGTCCCGTGTACCAATCCTGCACAAATCCTGCCCATTTACTCTGCTCCTCAAGGCGAGCCAGAAAGAACATCGGAGAGTGCTGCAGCTTTTCAAGATTTTAAACGTGTGCTCTGCTCATTCGAAAGGTCCTAGTGCTGCCTGCTGCCGTGTGTGTGTAGGAAGCACCGAGCTTTGTGGCCCGCAGCTCTCCGGGGGAAGTTTCCCATCCCCCTGGGGAGCAGCAGGGAGGTGAAGCATCCCGGGCTGCTGCTGCTTGCTGGCTTTTACCCTGCTGCTCCCCCGTCGTGCTGCCCAGAGAGCTTGGCAGAGTCTCGGAGGAGAGAAACCTCATCGCTCCGGGCTTCTGCTGAGGCCAGAGCCTGCGTGAGAAAGGGAATTTGGGGGATTCCTCAGCCACCACTCGGAGCTCTCTCAGCAGGGGTGTGCACAGCGAGGCTGGCTGCTCTTGGCTTCAAGCTGTGAGAGCAAAAAGGGTCCCTTGGTACGAGGCAGCCTTCCCTCACCTGGCTTATTCACCGTGGTGGAGCACTGATTTTGTACCACCCGCGGTCTCTCTCCCTATTTTCCCCACCCTCCCTCCTTCTCCCTTCCCTCCCTGGGGGTGTCGAGTCGCTTTCCCCAGGCGGATCGCAAAGGCCAGGCTGCTTCAGAGCCTTCCTGCTGTTTTAACCACAACTTACGCGACGGTGTTCTGTCATTTTGGGTAGCAGTGGTGTGTTTTGGATGGTGGCTTGTTCTGTGGAGACCCTGCGTGTTTCTTGGTGCCTCTGCACAACCCCGGGGCGCTTGGGAAGAAGCCAGATGTGGTTTTACGTGTAGCTTGGAGTATCAGAGCTGTTTCTTGTAACCGATAATCCCTGCTTCCTCCTTGCACTTAAATTAAAAAGGACACTCGAATCCCAACGTGGTCTTTTATTTTTTTAATTTTTTTTTCTTTTTAGTTTTGTTTGTTTCCTCCTATATTGCTGGACTGGCCCCGTTTCCAGCTCTGCCCTGTCCTACCAAGACATTTTAGGGGGTCAGGATTTTATTGTAACCCACGGCAGGTGCCGGAGCACTGAATGCACCTGGCAGTAGCGGTGCCTTTGGGACAAACCCTGTGTCTTGATCCCTGCCCTCAGGGAGGGCTCGGTGCTCACCAGGGCTCCCTGCTGGGTGTCCTGCCTGCCGCAGGTAAGGAGCTGGCTCTGGCTGTCCAACATTGGACCGAGTCCTGCATTTTGCTGCTTGCCTGCCTGTTGCTGCTTGTCAAAACCAGGAGATTTCGGGGCCCGACGCTGCTGGTGGTGCCTAGAAAGTCCTGTCATGCTCCGTTGCCAGCAGCCTGTCAAGCCCGACGGTCTCCCAGCTGCTCACCGCTGTGTCTCCCAGCTGAGCAGTTTCGCTCTGAACGCAGCCACCCACAAAAAGCTTTGAGTCACTTTTTATCCCCCCCGCCTTGATGGGAAAGAGAACTTTTTCCCTGAAATGGATGAAAGAAATGAAAGAGTGGGAGTCGGGAGCTTTGGCTCTCTGACTCCTCTTCCCCAGGGTTGCACCGGCCAGAGGCGGTGCTGGGGGGCACTGGGAGATGAGCAGGGTGCTGGTTTGGTGGTGCCCAGCAGTGAGCTCTGCCCCCAGCACCCACGTTCTGCCATCCCCTGCCCATCCCTTGGCCTTGTGCTGTCACCTCGGGCTGGCTCTTCCCGATCCGTGTTCACCTGTGCTGGTTTGTCTGTATGGCCTGTGTGCACAGCCACTGTGTCTTACTTGTTCTGGAGTTGGTTTTTTGGCTTCTGTGTTTAGCGGAATAAATGCAAAGTCATTTTACTCATCATGTGACAGGTCCCTTCTGCTGTTCTAGCCCAGCCAGCACTCGTCGTGGCCTCCTCACGTGCTGTCTTAGCAGTGCTTGGAGGGAGAAGAGGCTTTGGCTGGGGGGTGCTGGGCACCTCGTGAGCCCTGCACCATGGCTCTGCTGCCCTGGGCTCCATCCTCCCACCATCTGCACCCAGCAACCAACACGAGACCCACTGTACAGAATTATCTTTATTCAGTGAAAAAAAAAAAGACAAGAGCCCCCCCCGGGGCTGGACGGCTGCTTCACAGCTCCCTCTGGCTCAGTGGCCTTCAGGTTTCAGACCCTGTCACCCCTCCGCTGGCCTGCCCTTTCCCCCTTCTGCTGCCTGTGCCCCCAGCAGCTTCCCAGGGCCGCAGGAGGAGGAGGAGGTGGCTGTGCAGGGCGGGCAGCACCCCGGGCTCTGCCCCTCGCACCCTCCTGTGCTCTCCCCCTGCTCACGCCTTGGCGTTGCTGCTGGCGGGGGTGACGTTGGAGGGCTGGTAGCCCGGCTTGTCATCCTGCTTGCGGTAATACATCCGCGCCACCACCGCCAGGATGAAGGTTTGCGGGATTAGCAGCTGCATGTTCATCTCTGGAAGCGAGAAACAGAGACAGGTTGGTCGAAGATGCCTTCATCAACCGTGTCCGTACCCTGCTGTGTGCTGGAGGTGCTCGGCCAGGAGCGAGCCATCCACATTTCCCGACTTACGCTGCGACCTGGCCTTGGAGGAGAAGGGCGGCGAGCAGGCGATGTTGCCGTTGTTGGCCAGGATGCTGAAGATGGCAGGCTGCAGCGCTGTCAGGACGAGGAGAACCTGCAAGCACAACACCCCCGAGGGGAGGACACCAGTCCTCACCCTGCAGCCGGACCTGGATCTCGGCTACCACCAGGGTCCTGTCCCCGCACACCTCCAGCCCGTGCTGTGAATCGCTCCTTGTGCTCGGGCTTACCTGGAAGCAGGTGAACTTGGCCTGGATGTTCTGCTCCGCCAGATGCACCCGGGCCTGTCGGAACAGGATGCCCAGAGACCACAGCCCGAAGAGGGTGGAGGCACCGACGAAGGTGTTGATCCAGAGCGCCACGCTCTCCGCCGAGATCTGGGAGGGGAAGGCAGGAAATGCGTCTGGGCTGCCAGAGCCACCAGCCGTCACCCTGCCCGGCCCCACGCTGCAGCACTCACATCAGCGGGGTTGTAGTTCCCGTCAGCAGACAGCACCAGCCCCAGAAACACGGCGGCCGTCCTGAAGAAGGCGTACTGGAAAGTCCCCAGCATCAGCAACCGCAGCTTGCTCCTGGCACGGGGAGAGAGGTCGGTGGCACCCCGAGGTTTCCATGCCCGGGGGTGTTCTCCTCTGCCCCAGCCCTCCCTCACCTGCTCATGGTGATTCGGGGCAGGCAGGGGCAGCAGCAGCAGCAGGGCCCGGTGTTGAGCACCATGGGCACGTCCTTCAGGGTGCTGAGCACCGCCTCCTTGCCCCCAAAGCCCTCCACCATGACCAGCATCAGGAGGTAGAAGCAGATGGAGAAGTACCTGGCGAGGAAGAAGAGGATGAGGAGAGGAGGCTGCTCGGCTCCCGTGGGCTCCCCAGCCCCTCTCCCCGGGGCAGGCATTACTCACATCGTGGTGGCCATCTCCACCACCATCATGGAGCGCGGGATCCACAGCCCGAAGCAGCTGAACACGGCCACGACCTTGGGGGGAGACGTGAGCATGGCACAGCAGCCTCTCCCCATCCCCCCAGGGGGGTGCTCAGATCCCTCGGGTGCCCCCCACCCCACCGCCCCCATCCCCAGCTCACCGTGGGGGCCGAGCTGCTCCAGCGGAGGGTCTTCATCTTGATGGGGCAGCGGATCTTGTGGGTGAGGTAGAGGGCCTCTTCCACGTAGATGCCGACCGACACCAGCGTCAGGATGGTGGCCAGGCCCATGATGGAGAGTTGGACCATGTCCAGCTCTGCCGGGGAGGGGCGAGAAAGGGGTTTGGTCGCGTCCTGTCCCCTGTTCCTTTTGGCACAGCACCAGCACCCCCCTGGGCAGGGCTGTGGGGTGGGAGCTGAGCCCCCAGCAGCACCCCGTTGCCTCCCCCCTTCCTTAGGGCTGCCCCCTGCTTTCCCCCTGCCATACCTCATCCCCTGTCCCACTCCCCAGGGGGACAGGAGGAGGCTCCCCCCTGCACCGCCCGCTCCCCCCTTACCCTTCAGCAGCTGCCGGGAGGTGGGCGGCAGGGAGAAGCAGGCTGGCGGCACGCTGAAGTTCACGATCAGCATCTCCACCAGCGAGCGGGGGAACCTGCGGAGAAAGGGAGCGCTGCTGGGGACACGGGGACACCCAGCCCCATGGGGTCCCCCCGCCTCCCTCCCTCCCTTCCTTTAACCCAAAATCCCGCTCCCAAAAGTGGCTGTGAAGCATCCCAGCAGCACGGGGAGGGTCCCCCCAACCCACCTGGGGTCATCTGCCAGCTCTATGGTGGGATCCATCCTGCCCCGCTGCTTCCCGGCTCTGTCCCAGCGGCTGCTCGGCTGCCTCCGCGTCCCCTCCCCGATCCTACACAGGGTCAGAGTCCCCAGGGCAGGGACCTCGGGGAGGCTTGGGCGCCTCGTTCAAGTTTAACCAGCTCCATGCACTCATTGGCGGCCCCACAACCCCCTCGGCCGCCCGGTTATCGACCCAGAGGAGCGGCTGTCCGTGTGCCATCGCGCCTGCGTGTCCCCAAAACCCAGGGTGTGGGGTCCTGTGGTGCCGTGACACCGCCTGCCCGCCCCTTGGGGCACCCCACGGATGGGTTTGGGTGGGGGTCCTGTGGTGCTGGGGTCCCCGTGCGTCCTCCTGCCCCCTCTGCGGCGGTGGCTGGGGGCGAGGTGGTGCCACCACGCCTGCCACCTTCCGTCTGTCCTTCCCGGTGGTGGCACCTGCCCTGCTCGTGGCAGCACGGGGCTGGGCCCCGCTGGGAGCAGCTCCCATGACGCTAGAGGGCAGGGCCAGCCCTGCTCAGCACCGCAGCTCTGCACCCACACTCAGTGCCAGCACCGGGGTGAGGTCCTGGTGACCCCCCCAGCACCCTGAGGCACACAGGCTCTGGTTTATACTGGGATTTCAGACATCTTCAAGCCCTTCCTACACTCAGGCAGAGGGGTCCTGCAGGAGCCAGGGTGCCACCTGCACCCCAAAAGCGTCCCCAGCACCCCGCTGCGGTTGCCATGGGGCTGGGGTTCTGGGGGTTGCTGTGGGAGCAGCGTGGGGGCATTGGGCTGCGGCCAGGAGAAGGGGATGCCAACCACCCAGCGAGGCCAATTTCAGGCAGCTGCCCAGCCCAGCATGGAGCCCGTCACCCCCCTTCTCTTCTCCATCCTCCTGTGCCTCTGCTTGCTGCTCCTGGGCCCGTAAGTCGCCCCACGGCAGCGTGCCAAGCCCCATCCTGCCCACCCGGGGTGACAGAGCCGCCCTTCCACGTCGGCATCCTGCAGATGTTGGAGCTGGGCATCAGCTCTGCCATCCCCGAGCTGCTTCTTCCCCCATGCCCACCTCCCCCTGGGCCTGGGCACCCCGCTGCCTGCTCGCTCCCGACCTCCCCTCGCTCCTGCCGCAGGTGCAGCTGGCTGGCTCTGCGCGTCCTGCTGCTGCTCCCCATCTCCAGCACCATCTTCCTCATCTCCATCCTGGCTGCCACCAGCCTCATCCTGTTCAGCATCGCCTGCCTGGAGCTCCCCCAGCCAGGTGAGGCGCCCGGATGGGTGCGGGATACAAGAGCAGGGGGTTGGGGGGAGCGGTGTCCCCATCGTGTCGCCCGCACCAGGGACCTGGGAGGACGTCCTGCAGCTCTGTGGCACAGCGATTCGGCAGCCCTGGTGCAGGTGCCAGCGTCCCCGCCGGCAGCACATCATCTACTGCTCTCACTGCGACGGCTACGTGAAGGTGAGGGACATGGGGTGCCCGAGGTGCCACGCACCACAGCCCCCCTGCCCACACCCTGCACCCTGAGGGTCGCAGTGCGCTGCACCACGACCGTCCCGCTGCCCTGCGTCCCCCACCCTCTGCTCAGCCCCCTGAGCCCATCGCCCTGGGGAAGAGCCGCACGTATCCCTT